CTTGGCTTCCATTCTTTGATGGGAAACTTGAGCGGAATAAATTTCAGGGGTCAGAACGTCAGTCAAGTCAGTAGTACAAGTACACACATAAGTCAGGAACAAAGGTGCAAGGAACAGCACATACATACAGATGTATGTCTGTACAGAGTATGTATGTACTCTGCAGGATCCATGGATGGGTGGAATGGATAGGGGCTATACATAGAGACGTGTAGGTACGGAGTACTGTAGATGGATAGCGTCTATAATTGCAGGGTAGTATGCATGTCTGCACATACCTACATACGGTACATACAGTACTTACCACAGGATCTTTTAGGTAGGTACTCTACTGCTGTACAGTACATACTCTGCAGGAACGTTCTCCAGGCTCAAATACTCAAAATTTCGACTAATATTGCACTCTCCGCTATATTATTATTACTACTCCGTATACTCCGTATACTCCGTAATTATAGGATATTTATTTTTGGCTCAACGGTCAATAGTAAAATAAAGTTTAATAATAAATCGAAACTAACGGCTTGATTTGTTTGCTTGCTTCTGATTGGATTGGATGATTTTTGTTGTTTTTTTTTTGCTGCTATTCTGGTTGTGGCGGTGCAACTTGTAAGGACGGGCATGGGAAGGTATGGATGTACCCACATTGGCATTATTGTGGCGTTTGATCGTGTTGCTTATTTGTTGGAAAGCTTTTTGTGTCTCCACTTTTTCTTCCTTCTCCTGTCCCTAGGAGTACGGAGTATTATTACAGCAGCCATGACATTGACGACGGACCGGATTGAGGATCGTACTGTTGTACTGTACAAATTTTGATTTTTCTTTCTTTTTTGAAATGAAATGTCGATATTTTTTTTGACGTCCTGGGTTCGATTTGATTTGATTTTTATTTTTATTTGATTTGGTGCTGGTTTACTTAACGTTTGTTTGTTTTGTTGGATGCAGTGCTGAGTTGTTCGTCTTGACAGTCAGTGACTGCTCGAAATTGAATTCGAGTAATTCATCATCCATCCATTCATTATTCTGACGCAATGCAATGAAGAAGAGATTGATCGTTCGGCTTCCAGCAGCATAATTAAATAATTAATTGATTATCTACAGTATCGTACAAAGTACATGTATGTATGTACTACTACTACTTAGCAAGATGGTTCCACACAGTTGTTATTTTTATTTATTGATCGATCTTCCACAAACACGTACTGAGTCCAGAGTGGTTGAATTACTGACTGACCAGCTACCTAATCTGTTAGTTCAAACGGTCCACGTCCTGCTGGCCCGGCCGATCGGTCCGAATCTGAATTGAATGAAGTGCTGCGCCACAAAGGAGGTTTAAGTACAGTACATACATTAAGGTAGGGGTACCTGGTCGATTGAGGTCCACTGTTGTTATTATTATTATTGTCGTTGTTAGGAGTGAGAACCGTTTGTGTAGGCATGATGAGGTCATTCATGGATGAGAGTTTTTTTTTTCCGGATTAAGTCCGATATAGCATTTGAAACAGTAGCATAAATAATAATATAATAGTAGACGCATATTAACTACTATTTGGGGCATTATAGCAGTCACTGTGTATAGCGGATAGAATTCGCAGTCAATGACTGGGGAAATTTTTATTTCGTTACTCGTACTTATGATTGTCGAGCACGAGTATGACTGTACGAGAACTCGGAATTATTCCGTTATACCTCAGGTTAGGTGACACTGCATACCGTAAACAAAGAGGTCACGACTCGCGAATGCTTGTCACGAATGCTATTTTTGACCTCCTATTTACCCTGAACTCTTAATACTCGGTAATAATCGAGTAAAAATAACAGTTGAAAGAGGGGAGGTATATATAACCTGGCTAATCGGTGCCATGCGGGGTTGGCACTAAAACACGACGACTCAAAGAGCAAGGACTGACGGTTGGCAGGCTGCGGTAGCATGCCGGCAGCCCCGCAGAGTCCATTATGCAATCTGTCTCAAATCACGGCTCGACTCCCCTGTCAAAGAAAGTTAGGCTTGGACATGGCTGGCCAGGTGTGACGTCGGCCGTCGTCTGGTTTGCGAGGTTTCTATTTTCCAGACGGAAAAATCCTCCGGCGGGCTGTTCTTGCACGACTCAAAGCGAGTCTGCCGACGCGGCCATGCGATCGAGCATTCCGATCTAATGAAGGAATGACCACAGGTAGGGTGGAATGTTCACCAGGTAGGAGTACTCTGTACCCGGAGAATCCTAAGACCATCCAAGACTGTAGTCCTAGGATGCTTTTGCGTGTTTATCAGTTGCCCGGAAAACCGGGTTGCTCGATCCTGGCCCCAAGCACTATGCCATGTATGATCACACGCTAAGAAAAGGCGAGTTCTGGACCACCGCCATCCGATCCCAGAAACGTCACTTGGGCCAACTATGCCCGGAGTGGCACTGGCCGCGAGACCCGAGTGCCGATTGTAGCGGCCGTCGTCAGATCGTGGGCTCTTAATAATCGTTGCTCTGGCGCATCTTGCCTTGGCGGAGTCGGACCCTGCAGCGTGAGGATCAGCTGGGAATTTATGGCAGTGGTTATTGAGTATTGACTGTTCCGGTGGCTCCGCAGGCCTCGTCCTAGCGACCAGTCACTGGGAGATTAGGTAGTGACTGTCGCGAGATAACCACCCGTTGACGTCGATGATCGACTCGACGATCGAAGGACGCCTGCTCCAGTAGACTCTGTGCTTATAGCGACGATAAAGACTGTATGGCCTGCCTGCTGACAGACGGCGCTGATCGCTGCAGAGCAGGCCAGGGTCGGAGGCGTCGTCTGCGGCCCCGTCGCAACTGGATCGCGTTTCAGCCACCGAGGCTGGCGATGGGCCAAGCCGATCTGTAGCGGCCGACCAAGCCGAGATAAGGCAGGCAGGGAGATCCGCAGCGCGCCAGGTTGCTCCGTGCTGTATCATCTGGATGGAGCGGGCTGGCGGCAGCGCGGCGTGCGATTGGGCCAGCGCTATAATAGTCGATATTCACTGCCTGCAAAAGCTGCCTGGAACATTCTCACCGCGCGCACACGCAATTACGTCCCTTCCCAATCCAGCTGCCCGCCCGCCCTCGCCCGCCAGCCCCCAACGGAAGGTGCCAGTGGCTTCTGCTGCGGCTTGTGCCTTCTCTTTTCTCAACCTCGCCATCTCTCGCTCCTTGCCCTCTCTCTCTCCGCACGCAGCCTGCTCGTCGCTCTGCGTCCAGGTCGGTCTCGCAGTCTGGACAATGGTGCTGCTGGTCCTTTGACACTGCTCTGTCGGCCGCCAGGAATTGTTTGCTTGCATTCCCGAGCAGGTGTGAGGAAAACCTGTGGTCAGCGGCCACCCTCGGTATGCCTCTCCTCCATCTCCCCCGACTTCTCCCCTGCAACTGCCCGTCTGGCTTTGAACTTACCGGCCAGGTCAGGCAGCGTCTCGATCTCGACGGTGCCCGTGAATCTGCCTCTAGAACAGTCATCCAACAATCTTGCCTGGTCGATGACCCTGCTACCTCCCAGTCACTATACCTGTCGACTTGATTACCGCAACGCCAGGTGACAGCCCTGGGCATCGTGTTCCGCGTATCATTGTCCGTGGTGGATATTCAAACGTACAGTTGAGCCTCCGCCATGGCTTTCTCGTCGGTCGTCGTTCCGCTCTGGGCCCTCTTTGCCCTCGTCTACGGTCCAGCTCCTGCGGCCGCCGTGACGCTGACCTACTGTTCATCCGAGAACACCGGCGCGTCCTTTGATCCTAGTACGTCGCGTACCGTCTACGGGTTTGGTCCATGCTGACCAGTGCGCGCAGAGTCGAGTATCTTTCAGTCGAACGGTCTATGCCAACAAACATGCACGGCGGACTATGCGTTCGCAATTATTCTCGGCGAGAAATGCTGGTGCTCCAACTACGCCCCCGGTTCCACCACCAGTACGTCGAATTGCAACAGTCCTTGTCCCGGCTATCCGAGTGACCACTGTGGAAACACTTCCGACAATCTGTATGCCTATATCCAGCTTTCCAACCACGAGCCCTCGGGAACGGCGGGGGCAACGTCCACCGGCACGACCGCTACAACCGACACGGTTAGTATATTCCAGTCCTTTCAAGTTTCAATCCGACCAAATGCCTCCTTGTGTCGTTGATTCCATATGTTTTGCTGTCTGCTGTACTTGTCTGTCCTGTATCGGTTACTCAACTAGTGTCTGGTTTAACAGCCTGCACAGGGGAGTACCACAACTAACTCAATGCCTGAGGCTTCAACTGTCACTGTAACTGCGACTCCTGAGTCGAGCATGACCTCTTCCTCTACTTCTGTATGAATGCCCTTGGTCTGCTGCGCTTTGGAGAACATTGTTTTTTTTGGTCGTTTGTCGGTCGCTGTTCATTTCATGCTGACGGATTCTACAGACAACCGCCCCTACGACCAGTGCTCCTACAACCACGGCGCCGATCGTGTCGGTGCAAACGGTCGCAGGCCAGCCCGTTACCATTACTGTCGTGAATCCGGCGTCGCCAACATCGACTGCTGCAGCTTCCAGTGACAGTCACGGCTCCGGGTTGAGCGGAGGAGCTATCGCTGGTATCGTCATTGGATCCCTATTGGGGGTGGGCGCGCTGGTGGCATTTGGACTGTGGTTATGGTTCTTCGGCCGTCGTCGCGACTCGCGTAACGTCGCCTCACCCGACTCGCGATACGACACCTTACTTGATAACCGCCGGCAGAGCAAAGCCTCCCAGATGAGTTTGATGCGGGGCTGGTTCTCGCCGCACTCGGAGAAATCGTCCTCTCCAGATCATATGAGCCCCGCTCCAGCCCCTACCTTTACCGACAGCCGCATGAAACAGGATGCCGTGCTCTATCCGAGCGGGAGCCGGCACAGCACCGTGTCGCTCCAGGACGATCAGGACTACTCACGGCCAGTTTTACGGGTAAGTGCGATAACTCGACAGTGAGAGTTGGCCAGGGGTACTGATGGAAAGTAGCTCACGAATCCCGATTGAGGGGAACCCAATTCGTCGTTCATTGTGTTTTTCCTACATACATATTGGTTGTTCTTTCTTTCTTTCCTTTTTTCATGCACAACACGGCGAGGAGCGTTGCTTCATAAATGATACCCATTCTTCCCTTCGTGTTTCTCCGATTTTCTTTTAGACCTACACTCCCGCCTTTCGCTCGGACCTTTCATCGGTCCAGGAGGGGCCGTGGATAGGATTTGCATCTCGCCGAGCATCTCGCACGACGTCACGATCTCATCAGGCCGTCCGGTCTAGATGTGCAGTCTAGACGGTCGGGCTCATATCTGTTGCCATTGCTGTTAGTTCCATGTAAAATCTGAGCGTCATTCTTATCGACCAGTGTGAGACAGAATGTTTTGGGCGGATACTTGCAATGTTAGCATTTTCATTTCGTCTTTTCCTTCGAGCACATACACATTTGAGGAAGCGGATCGCGCTGGCGGTGTTGATTTGGGAGCGCACCCCACTCGACTGTCTCGGAGGGTGTTTTATCGATCACATGGGATGGAAGGTTAGGCGTTGAGCACATAGATATACGAATGATGACAGTCTAGCAAAGTGACTTGCAGAACTCGTAATGTAGCCTCGATCAGTCTTAGACTGCAGGAAGTAGTACGATCTGCACATTCACTATTCTATTATCACTGCACATTCATTATTCTATTACCATTACAAAGATCCGTGCAGAATCTGCCCATTGCCCGCATACCAGATGTTTTCGACGCGCAGATGCGAGATTCTCCAGGGATTCTTGCCGGACGGCAATTTGTCGGTGGGCAGGCGGATCAATTCGAAATATCCACGGGCCTATCATTCACATCAGTGATCTACTGTCTGTCAAATAAACATGCAAAAGAGGCGCTGCTTACACCATTCTGTGTCCTCGGATCCCCAAACGCCTCCCTTTTTCGTGAGCGTGGCCATGGCATTCGCGACGACGGTCGCCTTGTCGGGGATAGGCGTCTCAGGGTCCGGCTGGGGGGAGGTTGATGAGGAGGGATCTACAGCAACAACATTCAGAGAGAGCAAGTCAGGAAGACGACTACTGAGTGACAACCTACGTATACACATGCTGCGTCGCATCCATCCCCTCGACCAACGGCTTCCACTGCGCTGCCAGCTCCGAGGGCGTCACTCGCTGCGGCTCCCCGCCGAACATGCTCGTGTAGTCGATGATGACTTGGTCGGCCAGGACGTCCGTGGCGAGTTGGGTCCAGTCGTGGAGGTCGATGGTGAGGGCCTGCATGCAGTCATTATTCATATTAGGTATGTTATTGCATATTAAGTAAGTGGTCAGGTTTTCGAAGTGCAGTTACGTACAAATCTGGTTACTGTATCGTGGATGTTGGCGCGGTCGAGGAGGTAGTCTGTTACTTGGTAGGTGGTCGTGGTCATTGTTGAGATTCGTCGATGCAGATGCAGTATAGCTGTATATCAAGGAGGGATGGATAGGTGTAGATAGAGATGTATGCCAGGTAAATAAATAAATGATGTGTTTGTTTTGTTAATCAGCTTAATCAGATCAATGACAATTAGAATTGGACTGGATTAATTAGATTCTAAGGTTGTAGTAGGTACGTCTGTATATGTCCTGAATGGCAACAATAGAGTTGGATTATATAGAGCAAAACACTTCTTTTCTTTTGTTTTCTACTAACGTATCATCCAACACAAACGACTATCAATAATTCGTTCTTATACGAGGATTTCTCTGTATTGCATCATGTTGGTTGTACTCCTTAACTCCGTGAATACGGGATCCTTAAGTCCGCCGGCCATAATCCATCCAGCCCATGAGGACAATAACAATAGATTAGGAAGTATTTAAGTTATGTTGGTTACATTGAATTCTATTTATTAACTCTTTTTTTGTTTGTTTCCTCTGTCGTTTTCTTGTTGGAGTTGAGTCATAACCTTCAGAACATGTATGTACGTGAGGTTTATTTATCTGTCTATACCCTAGGGGTAGAGTTAATTTTGTATCTACCTGGCTATGCGAGAGGCTCTTGTATACCGGGTATATTGACAGCTGATATAGATCGTATTGTATGTGTCGTGTATCTCGTTTCGTTTAGCTAGGGTAGGTACAGTACGTTAGGTACAGTATAAGTAAAAGATTTGAGAGGAAAGGAGATTAGTGTACTTAAAGGTTATTCATGTAGTAATACTACCGTATATCACTAGCTCCAGCCCTGTAAGATCATTTCTAGGTGACTGCTTCGAGTGATGGCATCAGCAGACTGGAGAAGTAGAAAGAATAATTCATCTGAATTTCTGCATTTTAAGCTCGTTCTGCCGTCTCACGGATCAACTCTGCAATCTTCTTCATTCTCGGTCCGGCCTCGCGGAAAGTCATGGTCGTACTGGTGGAAGAACTCTCTGACAAGAGACTGCTCGCACAGCTCCATCAGCTCCAATCCCCAGTGTCTGTTCTTGACCGTCGGGCTGCGGACGTGCAGCGTGGAAATGTCAATCAGCCTGCCTTGGATCGCCGCATTGTATCGTGTGATTACCATCACTCCATTCGTCATGAACAGCCGCCCATCGACCAGCTGCCGCGTCTGCAGCGCCTTCAGATCCTTCTTGATCTGCGTGGGGTCATAGTCTGGGTGTTGTTTATCTGTTTCCTGCCGCACGCGCACATTCGACGGCCGAAGGAAGATGGCAGCCGCCTCTTTGACTGGTTCAGACTCAGCCGCTTCAATCACGCCCTCCTTCGCCTCGACGTCTGACAGGCGAAACACGTCGAGCGGCGTCCCGCCGTTGATGAACACCGCCCACCGGAATACCCTCTCGTGGGACAGCTTCCATGGATTCTCCCGGATGTCCCGAATGATGAGCTGTGCCGCCAGCGCAGCGCCGCCAGAGTAGCCGATCACGCCGTCAAAGGGGCCCTCGGTGTCTATGAGCCGGAGGATTTCGTCTTCGGTCTGTAGTTGTGAAGAGGGACCAGTTTCCTGCGCATTCGATCTTAATTTGCTCCATGGAAGCAGTTCATTGGGGAATCTGTACTGCACTGGACGTACCCTCGGTATGCAGAACAGTCCCTTGGATGAATTCGAATGTAAAGTCAGGAAGGTCTGCTCGCAAAGAAGCTAGATATCTGATTCAGCAGGGTCCTAACAGAAAGATCATTCGCAACCTGCCTGTCTGGAGCTTGAAGATCCGAGAGTCCTCGATGAGTCCGCGATCAATTCAATCGAAACATGCGTATTGTTACTTGCCTCGTTGTTCGATCCTCGACCGTGCAGACAGAGGACATTCATGATTGACAATTCGATGTCACTAAGGTAGATGACTTGGTGGTCGACAGAATTCACGAGAAGACATGTCGAACGACTGGATAGGATACTTCAGGTAATGCCGTTAATTCAATTGCATAAAATAAGCCTGCCTGTCAGACAAAGAACAGACCAAGAATGCTGCCGACTCCAACCTGGACTATTACTTCATTCCCAGCTTAAGTGCCGGTTGCACAGCAGAGTACAGACATGTACCGACATGTGCGTTTGTCTTGCGGCACTTAACACCATGGCTAATCCTAGTCTACCACCGCATACCCTTAATCGGCGACCCATCCAACAGAATGCGCGTTTTCAGCCACATTTTCCCGGGTCACAAAGCGGTTGACAGCAGGCCAAGGCGCTAGTTGACATGGATGTTATTGCAGATCGTCAGTCCGCCGGACAAGACTTCTTTCATCGAGACTTCCCCTCTCGGATGTTTTCAGCACCGCATCACTGTGGTAGAGACTCTGCATAGATAGCTGAACTACGCTGCAATGCATTCTGTCGAAAGCTCAGAGGCGACTTCGAGTAGACCCTCATTCTCACCGGAGCTGGCGCTTTCAGAGAAAGCGTTGACGGATCCAGGGAGTTCTACCGAGACATCTGGCAGAGATGCACAACACGAGGCAGCGGAGTCAGATCATGACAGCAACAACAACTTTCAGCTGGCGATACTCACGCTAGGACTGTGTCTGTGTGCCCTGATCGTCTCATTAGATACCAGCATCCTGGGTAAGTCTCCTGCCAAATATCTTCTCTTCCCATGCTGACTACCCAGCTACCGCAATCCCCCAAATCACAGCCACCTTCCATTCTCTCGACGATGTCGGCTGGTACGGCTCGTCGTATCTGCTGACGCAGACCGCGGTGCAGCCCAGCTTCGGGATGCTCTACAACTACTTCGACACCAAATGGACTTTTCTCTGCGGGATTCTGGTTTTCGAGCTCGGCTCCGTGCTCTGTGCTGTGGCCGTTTCTTCCATCATGCTGATCGTCGGTCGAGCCCTCGCGGGCGTCGGCGCTGCGGCGCTGTTCTCGGGCGACATGAACATTATAGCCATGTCGGTCCCGTTGAGGAGACGCGCGCCCTATATTGCCTTGTTGTCCAGCATGCTGGGCGTCTCGAACGTCGCGGGCCCGCCTTTGGGGGGTGTTCTTACTGATCGACTTGGCTGGCGGTGGTGGTAAGACGTCCAGTTACAGCCTTGACGACTTGCATGTCAATCAGCTAACTGATTTCTTTCTAGTTTCTGGATCAACCTGCCCTGCGGAGGTGTCGCATTCGGGATTGTCCTGATCTTCAAGAACAGAGCAGCTCCGTTATCCGGAATGAGCCTGAAAGAACGTCTGGCTGCTTTGGATCCGCTAGGCGGAATCCTCCTTCTGGCTGGTATCACCACGTTTCTGCTAGGCATCGAATGGGGCGGAACGACGTACGCCTGGTCTGATGCCAGGGTCTGGGGGTGCATCCTGGCATCAGGCCTGATTACGATTCTCTTCTGCGTCAGTCAATGGAAACGCGGTGACAGGGCAACCATCCCATCTAAACTATTCTTCAAGCAGAGGACGATTCTCGGCTCGTCGCTCTTCTCTTGCTTCCTGTCGATGGGGTTTTATGTGTGAGCAAAGAGCTATTCCAGGCACGATGTGAACTGATATACTCCAGCCACGTCTACTATCTCCCGATCTACTTCCAGGCCGTCAAAGGGTCCACTCCTGAGCAATCCGGCCTGGACATTATCCCCTGTCAGATCAGCAACACAGCTGCCTCACTGGCAGTGAGTGTCTTTGTCGGAATTCTGGGATGGTACGTCCCATTCGTCTGGCTGGGAGCGATCACCTTCATCGTTGGGTCTGGGCTGCTCTATACGCTGGAAGTCAACTCCAGTGCGGCCACCTTGATAGGGTATCAGATTGTTGCTGGAGCGGGACTGGGGGCATCCGTGCAAATTCCTTATATCGCTGCTCAAGTCGTCTCGAGCAGGAAGGACATGTCGTCCGCAAGTATGCTAAGCAATTTCGTTTCTTCCTTTTCTTTTGTCTTCTTTCTTTCCTGCTTTGTTTCTCCTAATAAGCTGTTGCTCTGCAGACGCCATCATGATCTTCTCCCACTCCATCGGCGGCACAATCGGCCTAGCCATCGGGCAAAACATCTTCCTGAGCACCCTGAACAGCATCCTCCCTCTGGACGCACCTCTCGTCAACGCAAGCGCCGTCACCGCAGCCGGACCGACGAATCTGCGCAGCATCACGCCGCCAGAGCAGCTGGCCGGGGTGCTGGAAGCGTACAACGTGTCGATCGCCAAGGCGTTCATTTCGTCCATCGCGACGGCCTCGGTGGGGTTTCTCTTTTCGCTTCTGATGGAGTGGAGGAGTGTCAAGGGGGTTGATATGCTGACCGGGGGGATACATGACTCGGCGGAGTGATTGTTATACTGCGGACAGTAGTCCTGCTTGACGGTTATGAGTCAGAAGATTGACAGTTCAGGTGCATGATGGTTTAAGGATCGATGGATGTGTGTACGAATTACCAAATTGAGTAAACTGTATGAGCCGAATCAGGTAATAGCAAAATGCGGTGACTAGGACTCGAGTAAGGTGACACAGACAAGCTTTACTCCATAACTCGTATGCATGTACTGTACCTATGTATCTATCTATTCTAGCTTATTCTACACAGCTATCTAACTGGCTACTATATATGTAGACAAAAGGTCTTGAATCTCTAGAATAATGAATAGGGACCTACCTAATTCATGTTAATCGTTTCGTTTTGCTTACCAAAGGTTAACCAGTTTAGTCCTATCTCTCATTCATTACGCCTGAGATAGATACATATGTATTCTGAAAATACCCACATAGTCGCTAGTACTAAATAGATCCACCTAGGTACATTATATGCGGATTACTCCGTACGTAGTTTATACACCGCCGTCCCGTACGTAGTACAGTACTGTATGTGCAGTACATGCAGTAGACAAAGGAATTGTACGCATGCACAGTGATGTAATAAGTATATATCTACAGATCACTGGCGGTATATACACTTTTTCCTAGAACAGGTCACATTTTGAAGATCTTTTTGGGGCTTTATAGGGCTTCATCACGAGTCAGTCATACATACATTACTCCGGAGCAGGTATCGAGGACATACTCCTGTTACACAAAGGCTTCGGTTCGAGTTGTGGGCCCTGGCAGGGATGGCAATTTCCTAACCTGTCCAATTCTTTGCCTGATAGTTCTGATAATACGTCATGTCTTGTTCCTGTCCTGGAGACTGGACCAAAAAAAGGAATGCCGTGACGTTAGAGTCTTAGTGAATTTGAAACTTATAGCGTGCTCCAATGTTATGTTTTTTTCTTTTTGCGAAAAAAAAAAGATAGTGCTTATACTCCAGTCATAGTCAGACATTCCATGCTGAGAGGAAAGGAAACAAAAAAAATATCAATTGTGGATAGACGACATGACTCGGATACGGATAGATTCAACCAACAACTGCGTACATAGCATTGACTCGATTTATGGAATGGGAATGTCTCTGATGTCGAGAATCCTGGACGACCCGCTTAAGGCACTAGCAGATGTATTCGATACTCGACCAGTTTATATATTGATCTCTGTTTCTCTTTCTCTCTCTGTTTCTCTATTTCCAACGATTATACTAGAAAACCTTCTAAGGGAAAATAAATAACGTTAAGGCTTTTTTTCCTTTTCACAGGGGAATACAGTAGAACAACCACGAGCAGAAGCAGAAGCAAATAGAAATATGCCTTACACCAACAACCACAGCGCAAGCAATGCCATCGCCATCATCGGCATGGCAGCGCGCCTCCCGCAGGAAGCGGACACGAATGAGAATCTCTGGAAGTTCCTTCTGCAGGCGAGGAACGCAATGACGCCTTTTCCCAGTGAGCGGGTCAATCATCAGAGTCATTATCATCCTGATTCGGAGAATTGGGGGGACTGTGAGTGCATCTGCCTACCTACCTACCTACCTATGTATATCATCTGTTCTGTCTAGTAAAAAAAAGCTCATGATAATATGATCTGTGTTGTTTTGTTTTCTAATGAATGCGTTTAGTATTAAAGATATTTATTACCCCTCGCGAGTAGACTTTTCTTCCCCTACTCTTCTTTTCATTCTCTCGTTAACTAAGCTATGGCTATTGCAAGGCGGCCACTTCATCGCTGGCGACCCGGCCTCCTTCGACTCGCAATTCTTTGGCATCACCAAAACCGAAGTCATGACCATGGACCCCCAGCAGAGGATCCTAATGGAAAATGTGTATCATGCGTTTGAGAATGGTCCAGACCCTGCACCAGCTTGTTGATCTATCTCAATAGCTGACGCCTAGAACCCTAGCCTGAATCCCCCTCAGCAAGGCAATGTCTTCCATGACCTCCGTCTTCGTCAGCGGCTTCAACCACGACTTCCTGCAGCTGCTGAACAACGACCCGGAGGTGTCGGCCAAATACAAGCCGACGGGCATGTCGAACTCCATCCTCGCGAACCGCATCAGCTGGTTCTATGATTTCAAGGCGCCCTCCCTCACCGTCGACACGGCTTGTTCCAGCAGCATGGTGGCCTTTCACCTAGGCTGTCAGAGTCTAACCGCTGGCGAGAGTGAGATGGCTGTCGTCAGTGGAGTGAATGTGCTGCTGTGGCCGAATGACTTTGTCGCCATGTCCCATCATGGTTTCCTGTCGCCGGACGGGTTATGTTACAGTTTCGACCATAGGGCCAATGGATACTCCCGTGGAGAAGGGGTAGGGACGGTTATTCTGAAAAGGCTTTCAGATGCCCTTCGCGATGGAGATACGATTAGAGCAGTGGTCCGTGGATCTGGTGTAAACCAGGATGGACGTACTCCTGGTATCTCTCTGCCGAACGGCACGGCACAGACTGCGCTCATCCGTGATGTTTATGCGAGAGCTGGACTCAACCCGGAAGATACGCTTTTCATCGAAGCTCACGGCACAGGGACCGCAGCTGGTGATCCCATCGAAGCACGCGCCATTGCTCAAGCATTCAATACTAGCTCTAGCACTAGGAAAGCTCCCCTCTATATTGGCGCCATGAAGTCAGGCATAGGCCATCTTGAAGGTGCCTCAGGAGTTGCCAGTCTCATCAAGTCTGTCATGATCCTCGAATCGGATGTTATACCTCCAAACACCAACTTTGAACGAGTTAACCCTAAAATTCCTGGCCAGCAGCAGGGCAAAGAAGGATCTCTATCAACTCCATGGGTTTTGGTGGAACGAATTCTCATGCCATTCTTGATACCATTACCTCAAGTCTCACCGGCTGGAGGGCATTCACAGAACTGTACCAACTGTACCGTCTGAGGAGGACATCCAGCGCATGTGTGCTCGCCTCGACTTGGCAGGATATGAGCTTATAAATGGTGCAGTCAGTGATAGACATGAAGTCAAGTCGAAGAAGTCCCTGGATAATGGCCATCAGTTTGGCAGTGAAGAAAATGGCAACACGAATGGCAATGGTCATGTTAGCACCAACGCAACTCTGCTTTTCCTATTCTCTGCGTTTGACGAGAACGGCGTACAGAGAAACGCAAAACCATACGCACAGCACTTGAAGTCGTTGCCGCCAATGACTGAGGGCGAGGAAATTCCAATATCTCGCCGATTTAGCTCACACGCTTTCCAGCAGGCGCACCGACTTTGCGTGGAGGAGCTTCTGTACGACATCGACACTCCATGAGCTCATTGACTGCCTTGAGTCGGGGGCTGGGCTTTCCAATCCGGTGCGAGCAGGTAGATCTCCTGCTCGACTGGGCGTCGTCTTCACTGGCCAGGGAGCTCAGTGGTATGCCATGGGGCGCGAACTTTTCGTCTACCCTGTCTTCAGAAAGAGTCTCGAGGCTGCAGATGAATATATGAGGAGCTTAGGCAGCTCGTGGTCTTTGATCGGTAGGTTCCTCTAATCTTTATATTACCTGAATTTTTGCATAGGAATGAGAACTAATTAAAGTCAGATGAACTCCATCGAGATAAAACAAACACAAGGATCAACCAACCTGCCGTTGCACATGTGGCATGTGCTGCTCTGCAAATCGCTGTTGTCGATCTTCTGGCAAGCTGGAACATCCTACCGAGTCGAGTTGTAGGTCACTCTTCCGGAGAGATTGCTGCTGCTTACTGTGCTCGGAAACTCGGTCGCAAGGCAGCCTGGAAAGTGGCTTACTTTCGCGGCATTGTATCTTCTATCAAGCATCCAACTAAAGGTGTTATGATGGCGGTTGGCCTCTCGGAAAGTGATCTCGCGCCTTACTTGCAGAAAGTTGATAGCAGTCTTGCGGGAGAGCTCATCATCTCTTGTTACAACAGTCCATCAAACAATACAGTCTCCGGGGACGAAGCAAAGGTGGACGCTCTAAAAGCATTACTCGATGCAGACTCCGTGTTTGCACACAAGTTGACTGTCTCAAATGCTTACCATTCAAGTCACATGAAAGCAGTGGCCGACGAATACTGCAGACTGCTGGGAGACATCAAGTCAACCGACAAACTTGCGTCCTCCCAGGACGTTCACATGTTCTCTTCTGTCACTGGTCAGTTGGTGGATTCAGACGTGCTTGAATCACCTCAGTACTGGGTCGACAACCTGGTGTCACCGGTGAACTTCACCAAGAGTTTGACTGCAGCCTGCTTCCAGGGTCTTCCAAAGGGTCAAAAATCAGTCAGCATGAACAACACAGCCGAGAACGTGTTCCTCAACGAGATCGTGGAAGTTGGTCCCCATGGCGCGTTGCAAAGCGCCATTAAGCAGACAATCAAAGCCTATAACAATGTAGCTTCAATCGAATATCTACCAGTTCTGAACCGCAACTCTCCGGGTGTCAGCACAATTCTCACGGCTGCCGGCTATTTGAACAGCAGAGGGTACCCAGTTAATATTCGCCGCGCAAATGAAACATCTGCTTCCATCCACCCACAAATGCTCGTTACGCTTCCACCCTACCGCTTCGATCACTCAAACAAGATCTGGTGCGAAAGTCGGATCACCAGAAACATCCGCCTGAGGAAGCATCCAAAACATGACCTGTTTGGAGCGCCGGTCGCCGATTGGAACGCTGAGGAACCACGGTGGCGTTATATCATACGCCTTTCAGAGAATCCTTGGTTAAGAGACCATGTCGTGACGGGCAGCTACATATACCCCGGCGTCGGATACATAGTGATGGCCATTGAGGCCGCAAAGCAAATTTCGGACCCGAATTTACCGATTTCTGGATACCGGCTCAGGGACATCGCCATTAAAACGGTATTAAACGTTCCTGTTACGAAAGACGGCGTCGAAGTGATGATATCTATGTCACGAATGGACGAGTCGAGCACACAACGCTCAAATGGAATTTCGGCATCATTTCGTACGCTCCAACTGGCGATGACTGGATTGAGCATTGTACAGGATATGTAGAAGTTGAGCTTACCACCACGGCAAACATCATTGACAGTGGCCGCGAAGCTGAGGAGGAGTCTCGCACGTGGCGAGAAGCGCTGAAAGAGGCTTCCCAGACTTGCCGGTCTCCATTGGATATGGTTCGGACATATGAAAATTTGTGCGACGTCGGGCTCACATTCGAGCCTCTATTCAAGAACCTCTCCAATGTGAAACTGGCACAAGGGAAAGGAGAAGCGACTGGAGTTGTCACTGTTCCAGATGTTTTAAGCTCAATGCCGAAGAAATTCATGCGTCCACACGTCATTCACCTATGCACCCTCGATAGTGTGTTACATTTATTCCTTGCTTCCATTCTTGACAGTATTGGAGAAGAGATGCTGTCAACAGCTATGCTGCCAACATTTATGCGAGAGGTATGGGTGTCCTCTTCTAGCAGCAGCAGCACCGGTCATACATTTCGGGGACATGCCAGGTCCACTCCAGTCGCTGCTCAGAAGTATGAAAGCGATATCATCATGATCTGGGATGGTGAAGTCGACGAAGGGAGAGTGTCGATTAGGGGCCGGAAAGCCTCCCCAATCTCGAACAATGAGTCGACAGGTACACGAACCGCCAAGTTCTGCCATACTGTAGAGTGGAAGCCCGATGTCGACCTGTTGAAATCTGATCGGATTCCAAACGTGGCTCTTTCGACGGAGAAAGAAATCGAAGATCGACGGCGAGAGGTTCAGGACCTTCAATTAGCCTGTATGCTGATGATTAGGACGCCTTGGACGAGCTCAAAGATATCCCTACCGAATCGTACGAGGGGCATTTCCAAAACTATTACCAATGGCTCCTGCAGCAAGCCAGGCTTCTCAAATCGGACTCCATAACCCACTTGCCATTATCCCGGTGGATGCAATACAAGGATGATAAGGAGTTCAAGGAGGAATTCTACCGTCAGATTGCAGGAAAGGGAGTGGAAGGTGCACTGTGCATTCGCACGGGATCGAACATCGTTCGAGTCCTCAAGAAAGAAGTCGACCCTCTCTATCTCATGTTTGGTATGGACGATCTCCTCGATAGGATATATTCCGAGATGGTTGGCACAGGGGACCTTCATAACCTGACTAGGGCATACATCGACTTGATTGGACATAGTCGCACTGATCTGAATATTTTGGAAATTGGCGCTGGCACAGGGAGTTTGACCACAGCCTTTCTGGAAACCTTGAGTCCTCTGCCTTCCCATGAACAAAGCTCTGGCAAATCGTCAAGGATTTCAAAATATATCTATACCGATATCTCTGCCTGGTTCTTTGAGAAAGCCAAGGAGAGGTACAAGAGCTGGAGGAACATCCTGGATTTTCAAACCCTAAACATTGAGATTGATCCGCAGGAACAAGGATTTGCCAAAGGAGAGTATGACATTGTTGTAGCAGGCAACGTCTTGCATGCCACAGCAGACCTCCGAAAGACTTTGAAACATGTCCGGTCTTTGCTCAAGCCTGGAGGCAGGCTGATTCTCTATGAGGGAATTAGACAGGATTTTCTTCCCACACCTCTCGCCTTCGGTCAGCTAGCAGGCTGGTGGCTGGGCGTAGAACCCATTCGGAAATGGAGCGCCTGGATCAACGAAGAGGAGTGGGGAAGGGTACTGCGAGACACTGGCTTTTCTGGAGTTGACATGAGCTTGAAAGATAGACAAGACCCGGATTTGCATGGGTTCAGCATCCTTGTCGCCTCCGCAGTTGGCAATGAAGCGTATCAGAGCCGGATTTCGACAGAGACGCTTATTGTCATCAGAGTCAGGCTCAAGATGACCTTGCATCCTCACTTACGGACAAATGGATTGAAAAATATGGTCTTCAGAATTGTCCGATTGCCAAGTATACAGACCTGAGCAATAGGGATCTCAGGAATACTCACTGTGTCTCCTTGATGGAGCTGGAGCGCTCTGTGCTCGCAGACCCGACTGAAGAAGAGTTCGCCAATATCAGACACCTTTTGTCCACTTGTGATGGACTACTCTGGGTAACTGGAGACTTCACGTCGAACCCGGAGCTAAACATGATTGCAGGACTCATTCGGGCAGTACGCTGGGAACGAGATCTTGAGGGCCCTAATTTGGTCACCTTGGCCATTTCTGACCCACGCCCCTCGCAGGGGATCATGGTACAGGCTATTCTCGACACTTTTGATCATCAATATGCAAAGTCAAATACAGACAAGGACAACGGCGAATACGTTTTTCAAGACGGTGTGTTTTTCACAAACCGTCTCGTCGATGCCACCGAAATGAACGACTACTTGACTGCCAAGGTATCGAAGCCAACAGCCCAGATGGTTCCTCTGGGCAAGGCCGAAGCTGAGCGACCTTTGAGACTCACAACAGCTCCAGGCATGTTGAACAAACTCCAATTTGAAACAGATCCGGTCTGGTTTGAGCCTCTTGGTGAATTGGACGTCGAAATCAAGGTCAAAGCAGTTGGTCTGAATTTCCGCGACATCATGATGGCAATGGGCGAGCATAACGCCATGACTTTCGGCAATGAGGCTGCCGGCATCGTGACTCGGGTTGGGCCTGCTGTAAAGAAAGTAAAGGTCGGTGATCATGTTGTCTACATGGACGGAATTGGGAGGACCGGAACCTTTCAGACATACGGCAGAGTGATCGAGGATCTGGTAGCCATCATACCCAAAGACATGGGCTTTGAGGTCGCTGCCTCGCTACCTTCTATCTATGTGACCGCGATTTATGGGCTCTATCATCTTGCCAGACTGAGCCAAGGTGAGACTGTCTTGATTCACAGTGCAGCCGTTGGAGTGGGACAGGCCGCCATAATGCTAGCAAATCTTGTTGGCGCAGAGATCTTTGCAACAGTGTCCACTCCCGAGAAGGCCAATCTCCTTATGACCAAGTATGGTGTCAAAAAGGATCACATATTTTCAAGTCGAGACTTGTCATTTGCCAAGGGAATCATGAGGATGACAAATGGCCGGGGGGTTGACGTCGTTTTGAACTCTCTTGCGGGAGAGTTCCTTAGTCGGACATGGGAATGTGTTGCACCTTTTGGCCGATTTATTGAAATTGGAAAGAAAGACGCACAGAATAATGGAGAAGTTACACTGGTAAGTCACAAGCCCAACCTTTCAGATGTTTTGAGACTAAGGTCGCTTCCCAGAACCCTTTTCTTCGAAATGTTATCATGGGCAGTGTCGAGTTGCCGACGATGGTGCGGTACCGGCCCAAGGAGAATGTTGGCTTGATTGAGGAAACTGTACGTCTGTACACTGAAGGAAAAATCAAAGAGCCAACACCAACCAAAGTCCTCAATTACTCGCATCTAGAGGAGTCCTTCCGGGTGCTGCAATCGGGAAAAGGCATGGGAAAGACCGTACTTGTCCCGACGGAGGATGCTATCGTCCCAGTCGTTCCACGACCACCAGTTCAGATGAAATTCGAAGAAAAAGCCTCCTACGTTCTTGCAGGGGGTTTTGGGGGTATCGGCCGCAGTATCGCTCGATGGATGGCCTCACGAGGTGCGAAAAACTTAATTTTCCTCTCACGTTCTGGTGCAGCAAGTAGTGCTGCTCAAGAGACGATCCAAGAACTCGAGAGTCGGGGAGTTACTGTTCGTGTGTTTTCCTGTGATGTCTCAGATAAAGATCGCCTTGTTGCTGTTCTGGAGGAGTGCAAAACCAGTCTTCCTCCTATAAGAGGTTGTATCCAGGGCTCAATGGTTCTTGCCGACAAGATCTTCGAGAACATGAGCTATGAGAAGTTTCGGGCGGCCACACGACCCAAGGTCCAAGGATCTTGGAACCTCCACGCCTGTCTCCCAAGAGACATGGATTTCTTCATTCTCCTATCCTCCGCGACGGGCCTTGTGGGAAATCGTGGACAAGCAAATTATGCAGCGGGAAACACATATCAGGACGCACTGGCGGCTCACCGTGTATCTCTCGGTCTCCATGCCACGTCTCTCGATCTGGGCACGCTTCTTTCCATTGGCTATGTGGCCGAGAATCGCCAGCTGCTGGGCCATGTAAAATACGTCGCGTCGTTGCTGGGCTCCGTCCGCGAAGAGGAGATACACAGCGTGATCGAATACTGCGTCAAACCCACTGGACCATCTAAGAGGCCCATTCAGATAGCTTCGTCTGTGACAACTGCGGCAGAATACCGGGCCCGGGGCATGCCCACGCCCTCGTGGCTACACATGCCGCTGTTCACCCAACTGGCCTCGACAAGTTCCAGTGCCACAACCGGTCCCGGAGGCGAGGAGAGCGCCTCCGGACTGAATATTGCTTCTCTATTGGAATCAGCAACGTCTTTGGCGGACGCGGCTGCCGTTGTCGCGGACGCGATTCGCACAAAGCTCTCGAAGCTGCTTAATATCTCAGTCGAAAACATCGACCCCAGCAAAAGTGTCAGCAGCAACGGGGTTGAAAGCCTGGTAGCTGTAGAGTTCCGCACGTGGCTCGCGAAAGTCCTGGCAGCCGACATACCCTTGCTGGACATCTTGGGCACCATGCCCATCACGGAGTTAAGTGTCAAGGTCGTGTGTGAGAGTAGACTCGTTGCGGGGCACTTGAAGCCTGGAGAAGGAAAAACCCAGCTAGTGTCGCTGTCGGAGGGTAATGGGAGTGAAGAGTACATGTAGTTTTGATACGTCGAGAAAATGGTTGAAGTATAGGTTGGCAGAAGGAAAGGGGGAAAGAGAAGTTGATGCCGGCTGGTAGAAGAAATAATAGTCTCAGGCTCAGTCGAGTGCCAAAAATGGAAGGAGCGTCGACTGCACTGAACGTTCACATGACATGTAATCCCATCAAGCTTCGTTCAACAATTTTGTCGATGAATTGAGATGCGGGTGAACTCTGCATCAAACTGAGAATTTCTAAGCATGGTATCCTGCCCCCAGCTGATCTTCAACTCAAAAGGGGGAAGAGAAAGACAAGGTCAACGACAATGTTTACAGAAAGCATATTTCGGACTGGGAAATACCAACGTCATCAAACGCAGACACAGTATTTGCGTCCAAGAATGATTCTAGGTTTTTCGTTGTTGACATCTCTAAGAAAATAATCGGCCTGCTAATCACAGCGAGTTGCGATGGTACATTTACTGCATACTTTATCCCATTCGACATGGTCATCGCTGACATCGAGAGAATTACAAGAGCAAAAATTATCTATTCTTCCAAGAAAAGTAAAGATAAAAATAAAGAAACCATTCGTCGGAGTTAAAGCAACCTAAATCCCAGCTGTACGGAGTTAGTCGCATGTTATGTTGGGTGCGCCTCGAAGTTGTATTGGAGTATGCAACATATCAAACCCTAATTAGATAATTAGCCAATAGATGCTTAGATAGAACTGTTGGAATACTTAACAGTACACTGCATTTGCGTCATGAGGGGGCTAATTTAGACTGTGTCCAAATTCGTGCATGTGAGCTTTATCCAATGTTAACAATATATAATACGAACAAGGGAGCCTACTTACTATATATGATACAGCCAATGTTCCTCTCGAACCCAACACGCGATCTGTTCATTTCAATGTATCTGTACATACATACAAAAACTTAAAGCATCGCGTTGCTACCATCAATATACAGCTCAACCACAACAAAAATGACGACTCTCGTTCTAGGCGGCAGCAAGGGCAAAACCTCCAGCCGCCTCGCCTCCCTTCTCTCTGAGAACAATATCCCCTTCGTGCTCGCTTCGCGCTCCGTTTCAAACTCGTGCCCTTATCCCCAGATACACTTCGACTGGCTTGATGAAAAGACATACGGAGAGCCATTTAAACATGGTGAGATCTCTGCCGTCTACATCGTCGCTCCCCCAGTCACAGACATGTTCCCGCCCATGAAGGCGTTTATCGACTTTGCCTTCAAAGAAAAACGTGTTAGGCGTTTCGTACTCCTCAGCGCGAGTTCCCTCGAGCGAGGAGGCCCCATGATGGGTCAGGCGCACGATTATCTGCTCAAGTTGGCGACAGAGCACGAGGGATTGGAGTACGCGGTTTTGAGACCGACGTGGTTTATGGGTGTGTCGAGAAAAAGTGTTTATATTGCGTCTGTTTCATTAACAGTGTGACGTGCAGAAAACTTCTCTGAAGGCCCACACCAGCTCACGATCAAAATAACGGCAAGATATACTCCGCCACACAGAACGGGAAAATCCCTTTTGTCTCTGTGGACGATATTGCGGCCGTGGCGTCCCGCGCGTTGGTCGATGAGAAGTCTCATGACATGGAGCATGTTATTCTTGGTCAGGAGTTGTTGTCTTATGATGATGTAAGTTCACACTTTTATTGTGTCTGGTTTAGGTAGATTGTTTTCTGTTTCTTGCAGGGTTGGGGTTACATCCTATGGTCGTTTCCAGTTTTTAATTGTAACCTGCTGACATGTCTCTTCGTCAAGGTTGCCGCCATTCTCTCCGATGTCTTAGGCCGGAAAATCACCCACGTGAACCTGTCAGAAGAGCAGCTCGCTGCTGGCATCGTTGCAAACGGTATTCCTGAAGATTATGCCGCGATACTGGCGGCCATGGATACGGCAATCGCCCACGGCGCAGAGAACAGGCTGAACAACACAGTCAAAAAGGTAACGGGCAGGACGCCTCGGAAGTTTCGCGACTTTGCGATTGAGAAGAAGCAGGCCTGGCTCTGAGATTAGAATTAGCGGTGTATAAGAGAGGCTGCACTTGTTCACATTTATGTGCTGTATCTACGGCATATAAATCTTGAAAATATTGAAGAAAGATGGATCAATATATGAAAGCACTTGAATAGATGATTCTTGAAGACCTAATTTATGATATGTCTAACGTCTACCTGTGCTCAAATGATCAGTAATTGAAGAAGAAAAGAAAAGGGGAAAGTGAGGGAGAGGTAGAGAGAGAAAGAGGGCCGTTCTCACGTCCGTCACACTCCATATCGCCTCCGGAGGAACTCGTCCCACGTCGCAGATCTGTTCCCTGGTATGCCCCCCGGCGGCAGCCAGTCAAACGCAAAAGGATCTTCAGTCTCGATCATGTAAGCGACATGCAAAAAGCCCATATCCCGGGCCACCTCCAGTGCTGTCATATTCAAGGCATCCCGCACGTCAACGTCGATCCCCGCTCTGAGAAGGGCCTTCACGATCGGCACCTGGTCGCCGTTGTCATCCGTGGCAGCGATGTGCAGAGCTGTCTGGCCCGCGTTGTCTGTGTGGTCCAAGTCTGCCCCGTGGTCGATTAGCAATTCGACAACTTCGGCTGAAGGCCCACTGGCGGCCATCTGCAGGGCTGTTCGAGCATTCCATCCGACCGCATCGATATGTGCCCCTTTTTCAAGGATCATGGGCGTAGCATATTTCATTCCCGAATATGCTGCAAGGTGCAGAGGCTGATTGCCGGTAGTTGGATCCACGACGTTGACATCGGCTCCAGCGTCCAGCAAGGTCAGCGCGGATTCCTCATTGACGTATGTCAGAGCCTTCAACAGGGGCGTTTTACCGTTGTTATTTGTGGCATTGATCTCATCCTTCAGGCCGCAAGATAGAAGTAAGTCGACGACGGGCCAGTGCTCACTTTTAGCTGCAGAGTGTAGGACATTAGCGCCTGTTTGGGGATTAATCTCAAAGATATCTGCGCCGTATGCAATTACATGCTCCACGGTTTCTCTGTCACAATGTCGTGCCACTGCGTGGATCAAGCCCGGTTGTTGGACATTCGCGCCAGCAGTGACGAGGTCACGAACCAATTCATTTTCGGTGCTAATCGCGGCGCAGTACACGGGCGTCGCTCGCGGATCGCAGACCATGGCCAGGGACGGATCGGCGCCTCTCCTCAGCAGAAATCTGGCCATTTCGTTCTGGGAGTTGAAAATGGCGAGATGCAGCAACCGGTAGCCGTGAAGGTCGAACGAATCAGGGTCGATCCCCAGGTCGAGAAAGCTGCGCACAGCACCAATGTTCCCATCGCTCACTGCTTCACATAGTAATGCACGGGGTTCTGAAATGGAGGAGTCACGAGCCAGCAAAGTAGGAGGATATCTATCAAAATCGATAAATTTCCGATACTCTTCCTGGCTGGGAAGCGCCAATTTCAGACCCATTCGACGGAGATAGGAGCGCAGGGTCCGAGCAAATCTGGCGCAGGTTCTCGACAGGCGGCTCACATCCTTGTAGTCAAGACGGTCTGCGATGCACAGGATTAGTTCGGGGGGTAGACCAGAAAAAGTCAGACGAGTGCGTGAAGGCCGAGCGAAGCTGACTCGGAACAGGTTACTCACGTCGGGGTGTTCGAGATTGTCTGCGACACGCAAGATCAGCTCTGGAGATAGGTCGGAGAAAGTGGCCATGGCTATTTGTTAGTTGGTGACGATAAGAATTCACAAGCTCGCAGGAAGTAATATCGAAACTTCGAAACGGTGGTCGATTTGAATCTCCTAGGTCAGACTCAATGGTGATCGCGTATGTAGGTGAGAGATCATGAAAATATATAATAGGTGGCGATGACTGAGATATAGCCAGGAATAATGGAAATCGTTATGCATGTACCTGATGGCTATTTTCGACAAGGATAGAAAATTGGCGGGAAGATGACGGGTACGGAGACAACAAACAAGCAAAAGGAAAAAGAAAGAAAGAAAGAAAAGGAAAAGGCCAATCCTTTCACAGAATAAAAGGGTATAACTAGGATTGAAAGTCATTGTGTAGTTCCATCACCTTTTGTCTGTTAATGCCTGGATGGCAGTGGTGAATGCCGTGTTGTCTCAGAGCATCTGACAGTTAAGTAGAATTTCTGTTTTTATAAGACGACATAACAATGATATTGTTCCAAGCAATCGAAGACTTTGTCCTTGGAGATTCTGGCATAGAGAAAAATCCAAAACGGAAGCCATCATCCGATATATTATTGTCTCAGCTGCCTTGAAAGAGAGCGAGGAAGGATCTTTCAAGACGAGCACCGCACAAAGGCTTTCCCCTTTGCTTTTTCATTGTCTTCAGATTTTGTGCATAATTTCTTGGCTAAAAACACTGTAAAGTCAGCATTTATTGAGAAGAAGTGGTTTTGGTCGATTGATACCATACCAACAGTGCTCAAAAGCCCTAACGGCCTCTTACTGGAACATTCTCCCAGTGATGAGTGTATCCGACTTGATCGAGGATACCCAGGTAGGACGATCCTTTGACTTTTCTGGAGTTATGCTGAGATGTCTCTCTTTGTTTGCTCTTTTCTCCTTGTTTGCAGTGAGGCGACAACGAAAGGGAGCGGGCCTGGACTGTTTTACCCTTTTGGGGACCTGACACCCGCCTTTCCTATTTTGGAACACCAATCCCGCGGACCAACAACCAGGGTTCGTCCTCGCTCCAGCTTCATTTCATGCAAAAGACCGTTTTCCGCTGTTTTCTGGTCAGGGATTTTCTGCTCCAATGAGAAGAACCAAAAATCCCTTCTGCCGGCTGAGTAACTGTCTCTCCAATGAAGCGTATCCAACTGTCAGGATACAGTCCCGGTCTTTCTCAAATCTAATGATGATAAAGACCATATTATTTGGCCGGGAAAGAAGTGCGTTACTTGCGCGTTTGTACTCTGTACTGATGGATCGTATAGACCCTTATCAACTCTCTAGCTCGCGATCGCCACCGGATCTATCATCTGGGGCTGCCGGTACCCTGTTCACCGTCAGTCAGCGACATGGATCCCTCACAAGACAATAACTGATTAGCCTGTTATTAGTTCAGAGAATAGGTACCGGCTTATCGCTGCTCTTATCTTAATGCATCTTCTCACCAAATGTGGTAAAAGCATGGAATGGGACGTCGAAGGTCCCCCCTGAGGGTATTCGCTGGCTTAGTTATCAATGCATTGGATCCATTCGATTTCTTGGGCGTCTTTGCTATCTTGCCGCGCAGGGATACCTGCTGGATTTGCTTAAATGTCCCAGGGCCTCATCTCTGCAAGCATGATAGTTCTTCCTTGAAATACTCTGGCTTGCCGTTGTTTTGTGTATTTGCTTGAGGTTCTCTTCAACGCATGAAGCGATAACTATGGACTTCTTGAACGTACTGGACCCTAAATGGGTAATTGGACTCTTTTTACTTGTCACGACGGCGACTTGTCTGGCCGTGAATAAGTCGCAGAGAGATGCGCTCGTCAGGAATGTCAGATTTCGTGGGCGCAAGTCGTCCACCGCAAGGACACAACCGCCATCCATCTCTCCAGAGAAGTCGGCGACGGGCTCGCCGTCTATCTACAGTGATGTGTTGCCTCCCCCACGTCGAGAGGCCCTAACGAGGATCGAGGGAAAACGGCCTCGGACTGCGGCACAAGAAGTCAACGAGAAAAAAATCAGAGAGCATATCCTTCCCATGACGGCAGATTACCGGACAGCAGATGGTGATCGATACACACCAACGGGGTTCTCAGTGCATGAAATCAAAGAGCTGGGCAACTTTCCTGACTATGCCACGCTCAGCGGCGTGCCCCTGCCCAACCCGTATTACGAGTTTGATATCGACAAGGCTCGCCCGCGACCGTATCGTCCTTTCCGATGGGCTTATCATCAAACCATGTGTATGTGGACTCATCTCTCTATCGCCATGAGAAATGCGCCCTGTGTCAGTGCATAAACTAAAACGATATATTTCATAGCGCTCAAGAAGATGGAGACGGACTGGTGGATTGAACTGGAGAACACGTACAGGGAGCGGATCGCCCAGCGCAAGGGTCTGTATGCCAAACACGGCAATGCAGTGCTCAGCTACCTTCCGGGATCGGAATTGGCCTGCAAAGAGATGATGGAGATGGTGTTGCAATTCATCTGCGCCCGTTATCCAAAATACTTCTCACTGACGGACAATCGCATTCTCACCAACCGGATCCTGGGGACGGAACAGGACATCCGCTCCAAGCATCCTTTGGAGATCCTCATGGACAATGTGCCTGAAGACTTCGCCATAATGATGCGGGATGACAAGACAGGGTACTATTTCTTCCGCGCTGGTGTCATCTGCTCTTCGCTGGGATGGAACGTCGGCATGAAGATCGGTCTCCCGCTTCATGAAATCCACAAGCCAATTCCGGACTACAAAGAGAAGATGCAGTTCTCTATGGATCGGTGTGTATGCCAATTTATATTAGTTATAATAATGCCTCTTCTAATCAGATTGTGTACGTGTCTCTAGGTTCTTCGTAAAAATGCCAGCGGACAAGCCCATTCAGCGTGGCTCCTGGGGCCTCGAGGTGGAGCAACCACTGTATATGCCGCCAGGCGATCCGCACGAATTGCACCGGTTATCCCAGAACCCCAACCTCCGCCTGACGGACTGCTACCTCCGAGTGGACTGGCAGACCCTGCGCCGCCTGCCCCTCTCTGCAGGCGTCGTCTTCAACTTCAAGGCCCTCTTCACACCAGTGACCGAGTTCCGCGACGAGCCCAAAGTGCCCGCCCTGCTGGCCAAGATCCTCAAAGAAGGGAAGCGGAACTTGATGGAGTACAAGAACACCTGGCACGTCGAACACGTCGTGCTCCCCAAGCTGGAGGAATGGGCCAAGGAGCAGGAGGACAAGGGCGTCGTGGAGAAGAATTGGGAGGTGTCGACCCTTGAGGAAGATCCTTGGTTCCGGGGTTGGGAGGAGAAGTGGCACGGGCAGCAGGGGTATTAAATGAGTCTTCCTATTTCTATCTTTTTGACATATCTGCCAGCTAATTCTTATTTCAAAAACATCTGCATCCCTCCTTTCTTTTTTCCACCTTCTCTTGAGACTATTGAGCGATTTACGTGTGACGTGTGTGATATAGTATATAGTTACAGCATAGTTCCGCATTCTCACTTGCAGAAAAGAAAAGCCTTGCAAATCGGATTCCAGGTAGTGAAAAATCATTTGCTAGATCCTACATTTCTTCTCAATTCATCCTTTTCTGCTGCGGTGCTAGCTTTAAATCTGGCGAGCTCTATTCACACAGAGACTTCGTTGAGCGTAGACCCTGTTTTTGCTTCCAAGGTTTTGATATTACTTCGAGAGCAGGCCCGAGTGCCGCGTATCAGCCTGGGTAATACGAAGCAGTTTGAATTCGACTTCTTGGTTTTCGTCCCAAGGAGCGGCCTGCGCGCCAGTAGTCGTTCCGGTCTTGTGGTGCTGGACGGGATGATACGTTGCAGCATCTCCCTTCAGCGAACCTCGAATATCGTCTTTCCTTGACGGAGAGAGGATGAGTGTTCACCGCATCCTGGATGTGATAAACACAACCTATGACCGGAAATGTCTCTGATAGGATTATCTGGTTGGTTGTTTATGTGCAGTCCTTTCAATCCTCCTCTGCGTCGTTCGGCTCTCGATCACTCTCTCGGCCCCCCTGGCTGCTTTCATCGTGGTCACTGGCCTCACTCTCCTTATCTAACTCTTCCAGCTCATCTGCCAGCGGACTTATCCGCTCCTCCAAAAGATCCAAGTCCTCAAGCTGCTGCCGGGACGGCAGCTTCCACAGACTCGTGCCACAGACACGGTCCTTGGTGAGGAGGTCATCCACGAACTGGTCCATGGTAGTCAGGACGTAGTGATCGCGCATCCGGCGCCGTAACTTCCGGTAGTCCAGGAGGAGCGGCTCCAGGGTCTTGTACACATCGACGGGATCGAAAGTCAGTCGGATGTAGAACGCGGCCAGAGCGCGCAGATACTTGAAGTCGCCCCGCGCCTTGACGACCGCTCCATTCTCGTTTGGTTCGCCGTCTGCATCCTCCGCATCGCTTCCCGGATCCGTGAAGTTGAGATATTCCAGCACGATCTCCCGCTCCGGCGCCAGCTGCAGCATCTTGAAGGCCAGACAGAGGAACGGCGTCGGCTTCTGGCTGGCCCCGTAGGTTCCTCCGATGGACTTGAGTTCCACCGCACGATCACACAGTGTCGCCGCGTTTAGGCCGAAGCATTGTTCTTTCCAGTAGTACGAGTCGGTGATCCGATCGCGCACGGCTTTTTCGAACAACGTAGCGGGGTTGACGCCGCGGATCAGCGGGCCTGAATAGCCTCGATTGTCGAGCAGATTACTGGCGTCGGCGCGGTGGGTGGCCATCGTCGTGAAGCTCTATCGAGTTCGCGTTCTCTCGGCCACTGTTCGAATGCGAGTCTGCGGCGGTGGCAAATGAACGACCGTGTCCGCTCCCGACAGAAGAAATGTCAATGGTGCAGTATCGCAGTACAGTGCAATCGGACTAACAGGAGAGGCTCTTCTGCTGTGTACTTGTTTCGCTGCGCTGTCTTGCAGCAAAATTAAATGGCGGGTCTGGCAGAAAGGTTGGCGGGCGGTGTGACGAAGGCGGTCGATCGCGCGCCACACCGCCTTATCGATAGTTGCGCCGGACAACGCCAGAGTAAACATGCGCATCTCGCGATGCATACGCAGGCATCGACAGGGATTGGGATCAAGGATCTCGATCAGGGTTGATTATTGCTATTCCAGGTGACTGACAATTTCTGTTTCTGAGTCTGGGTGCTCCAACAGTGGACGTTTTCCATTCTCCAAGCTCAATTGATCGAGCGTTCTGCGATTTCCAGATGCCGCCAACATGGTCCTCCTAACGTCCTCGACAGTTTCTGTGATCGTCACGTCAAGTGTGATCTGCATGTCCACATTCCTCCTCTTCCTGTCTGGCTATGCGCTTCAGCAGCACTCGGTACGGAACATACAAAAGGCCATACGGGCACCCATACCGACGCCCACGCCGCGAGCGATACTAAGACGAGACGCAACATATGAGACATTTAATTCAGACGATGAGAGCGGCAGGGCGTTTGGGAGCAACATCAACAACATCGAACAGGAGGTGCTGTCGGAGGAATTGACCGGCGCAGGATCGCCAGGCAATTATGCTTATCTGCAGCTTCTCTCCACGCCGGATCCGTCTGACATCTGCTCCGCGATTTTGTTCTTCAAGAAGCTAGCTGCTGGTAATTCAGCTGTCCAGGACCGTCTGTTCCTGTATCCGCAGGAATGGGACCTTGTGTCGTCTCAGGATGAGGACGTCTCCACGGCACTTTCGCTCTTGCATGCCGCCAGCAGAAAATACGACATCTGGCTCCTACCCATCGACACGACGATAGTGGCGCAACAGGGATACAAGCTGACAGACTCGAAGCTGCTGCGCCTGGGCCAGATCCAGTTCATGCAGTACGACAGCGTGCTGTATCTGCGCACACCGGGCCTGTTGCTGGACGCGCAGAAACTGGACAAGATGCTGCTCTCGCGGCCTCTCCCGCTGAAATACGACAAGAACCGACCAGAGTCGTTCAACAATGAAGCCTGGATCCCCATGCCTCTGCGCGCGGAACGAGACCCGACCTTACCTCCCGTCTACCTCATCACGGTGAACAACGTCCGCGATCACGTCGAAGCCCGCACGCATATCCCGAACGTGGCACTGCGCGGCTTCGGCGATTTGGTGGTCGGACCAGATTTTCAAGACCGCGGTGACGATGGCCCTGCGTACGTGTTTTTCGAAAAGGACGACGAGGGTCACGTCCGATGGGAGAACAATCGCTGGTTCGGCCAGTGGAGGAAAGAGCAGTACGAAGTGTGCGAGGGTCTAGACTTGGATAGGGTTTGATTTGATTTGATCTGATCCGTCCATCTACACATCTGCTGAAACTTTTTTTTTACTGATACTTGACGCTCTCGATGATCAAGTCGTCTATGATACGATCACGTTTCATGATCCATGAGTCGATTTCACAAGGCAACGACAATATTTATGCATGAGAGGAAAACGTCATGAAAGGGTACGCATACGCATTAGATCTCTCTGTTGGTTTTGCTTGGTTTGGTTTTCCGGGTAGGCCAATGCAACTTGGCCTGGAGGTGTTATAGGAGTTGGTTTCTCTTATTTATCTTTCTTCTCTGCAATTTCAGCGTGAGCACTATTTACATACTCCAGTGGAAGATCTTTGATGGGCAATAACTATGTACGATAACTCAGAGACGAGCGCGATGAATGAAGCAATGAATGGACGGATGCTACGATGAGACAGCACAACATTTTTTTAATTTTTCCAGTATTTTCCAATTGTAGAATACATTATGCACTCGCTCCTAATCTAAACATAAGCACTCCTACTCCCCCCTCCTCCCTCTTCTTGGAGAAGGAGGGGAAGAGAGAGAGGTGCTAAAATAAGCTATCTCCCGTCTATAGATTGCACAGTAGATAGATCTGCAATGTACTTCACTGGTCAAACATGTCACCAAAAAGAAAATGAAGAAAATAGAAAAAAAAAAGCCTCCTTAACCGCAAGCGATATCACAAACAAACAGCGAAACAATCGTTAGATGTGTATCGTAATAAGACAAAATTTTAGATATCATACTACATCATCATGAACCGGTAATACCAAAAAGACATCGACCGCGTCAAGGGACATTGATCTCATATCCCAGTAGCACCTCCGTTGTGTTACCTTCCCAGCCTCGGTTCCCGCTCGTGGAAATCATGAAGCGGCATGCCGGGTCAAGATACAGTTGCGAGACGACACCCGTCCGATGACCGGGGATGATGAGGAATGGAACGGTCGAGTGGCGCGTAGGTTCGGCCTTGAGGTCGTAGAGACGGAGGATATCGTGGGATGCGCTGGAGGTGATAGGAATTAGTATATGGGACAAAGTTCAGACACAAAAGACAAGGCAGAGAGAGTGATAAGGGGATTATTTGTTATTAACTTACCAAACAAGATGTCGCCCGTTTGGCATCGCCTTGACCGCAGTCACGGCTCCACTGCCCTGAGGGAATTTGAAGACTCGTTCCGGACTCCGCAGACCCTTGTGCAGGCTGAATTCCTCCACCGTCCCGTTCCGACGGCCGGCGTAGATGTAGTTGCCGTCGGGAGACCAGCACGCATTCATGCACCATGGCGGCGTATTGCGAGGCGAGATGCGGGCAACCGGGTCCGGCTGCCGGCGGTCCCAAACCCGGATTGTGCCGTCAATCGACGATGCGAGGAAGGTGTGGTCTGTCATGATGTTGGACGTCTGATCTGACGATTGCGTGTCCTGAGCAGCGGTTGAGGGCTCTAATTCCTCGGCATGAGGCAGTCCATTGACAGCAGGTTCGCTCACCGCAGCAGGCGGCTCCGTAGGATTCGATCCCGCCGCTGCATCGGGACCAGCAGCATTTTGGTCCGCATCCATCGACGGGAGCGCCGGGTCCTGAACCCCATTAGATTGTACTGGTCCCCCAGGCTCGCCTTGTGCGTCCTGTCCGGATTGCTGGTCCCCGTTTGCAAGCCCACCGCCAAACATGTCATCTTCCTCATTAAAGCCATCACCTGACGGGGCTCCCCCGTCAGCCACAGCCCCATCTGCATCGCCGAAAAGCGAATCCGCTCCTCCAAAGAGCGAGTCTGCGGGCGACCCTTCCTGGGGGTTGGAGCCGTCGCCGGGCTTGTGGTCGCCCGCACCGTTCATGAAGCCGAAAGTCTCCGCTTGATTGTTTGACGAATAGGTGCCATTGGTTTGGTGGACGTCGATGGTATCCTGCGGAACAGGAACACTCGATTCTGGACGAATCTCAATTGCTGAGATTTGCCCAGCGCTCGCCGTGAAGGTACGTCTTGTCTGACCAGTGTTCAAATCCCAGTCCAGAACCTTCTTATCCCAGCTGCCTGACAAAAGCGACTTCTCGTCCGGCGTCAGGTTCAGCACCGAAACTGCCGATGTATGTCCTTTAACACAGCAATCTCTCTACCCTCTTCGTGGCGGATGGTTTGAAGACGGATGCTACCCGATTCCAGGCCAGTAAGCAGCCAGAGTCCTTGGCTGTGAGCTGCAAGTGAGTAGACAGGAGAGAGAGCGTTCCCATCCATGTTTTCCCAGTATGTCATCAATACGCCAGCCTTGACCACACTATCCACGAAAGGGTGTCTTTGAGCAACAGTCAACATCAGTTTGCCGTTGATCGAATCCACCCAGTTGAACTTTCGCACGTATCCATCCGACCCCCCACTGAATACCCATCTCATATCCGCAGTGGCTGTCACCGCATTGATGGAAGTGCTGTGAGGAGCAGCCGTTGTAGGCACAATGTCGAAAGTGGAAGCTGTGAGGCATTCTGGACGCACAGTCGGACGAAAGGCTGCGAGGTAATCGGACGCCGCATTGGGGTCTCTCGGCGAGGTTATAGAGGCGTCGGCGTTTTGCTGAGAGGCGTCTCCAACGCCGTCTGATACCTGGCTGTTATTTGAAGGACTCTCGGGGTCTGGTTCCGGGTCGGCGTCGACCTCTGGATCATTGTCGCCGTCACCGTCACCGTCGCCGTCGCCGTCGCCGTCGCCGTCGCCGTCGTCCGCGTCCGCGTCCGCGTCTCTCATGGGATCGTCGAGATCATTGTCGGAACTTCCGTCCTGCGACCCTAGCCGTTCAATTTCACTCAGCATCCGTGTGTTGTATGCTGGGACTGGTGCGACCTACCGATAATATCGCGGTCATCATCATCGTCTGCTATCGAAGGCATCTTGAAGATGGCTTATCCCACCAGGGTCTACCAGCTTCCTTGCAAGAAGAAAAGGGGCACAGAATCGCCTTTAATCGCGTAATATTTTGCGCATCTGCCGCCAGGGCGATATTGCGCAAGCGTGGATTGTGTTCGGAAGTGTGACCTGAGCTCAGGTCAATGTCGTAGAATCAACCATCGAAAGCTGTGCCGCGTGCTCCAATCTATAGCCAAGAAAAAAAAAACGACAACTCTATATGTTGAATTCCAAGTCGAGCCACCAAGTCTATGGGCTCCTCTAGCTGCTTCGAGATATGAATAAAACAAGCCTTTGCAATTTGTGGCGTATTGATGAGAAGAATGGGGTTGGAAGAGACCTCTGCCTGCAGCGGAGTTCTCATGTCTTGCCCGGACGTACTCCGCTTCGCTGCCTGAGGCTGCAACACTGACTGCCCACCTGCCTGTTACGGACACAACAGAGTACTGTACGTCCGTATTCAGAGTTTTCCCCCATGACTTTCTCTCTCTCTTAAAAAGTAAATGTCTAATATATATCAATTCACTGAGTTACTCCCATATTCTCCCAATTACATATTCGATGGGAGGTGTCTTATTCTCCCCACTTTGCGTTCGAAGACCTAACTCTTTGTGGAAATATATACAATATATACAATGGCTCCTTGGAGGTCAGCACGGCATAAGGCTCATTTTGCGGATCTCTCCGCTCAGATGGCAATTACCTCCCGGAAGCAAGTTCTGGGATTTGCCTTAGTTTCGAATACACACCGTCAGAAAGAAGATAAGCAGAGGCACCTATGCTTATCCTCACCTATGCTTATCCTCGTTTTCAACTGGTCTACTTACCAACAATGTGAGCATCGGATGTCGAGCACAAGTTGCAACCTTGTCATGCTGACTGCTATCTCTGGTTCTAGAAAGGTCGCCAGAAATGCAGGTACCCGGTGCTTCCCGTGAAATTTTTTCTTGTTCTGCTACTGGGTGTGATAATGGCATATACTCTGGGAAGCTTTGTTGCTGGCTAATATACTGCAGGGTATACATGCTGTAGAGGTCAAAGAGGCATATATGAGTTAGAATTGACAGTTTGCAGCTCTGCTTCTCAGCCTACATATTTGGCAATGCCTTTAGGGACTCTCCAGAAAGCAATCTTATTCTCCTCCCAAGAATTACTTCACATCCAAATGCAGGTGGCATGGTCTTGCATCTTCTAGAGTGTGACTGCTCATCCAAAACTGCATGACAGTTGCTCTGACCCAGGGAACTCGGTGAATTCACTGGTGGTGGCCTCAGTGACTGGGCGCACCTACCTCAGGGAACCTTCTGGTGCGTATCTTCCCTTTTCGATCTGTTGACATCCTTCACCTCTGCCCTCTTCCCAACCACCCTCCCCGCGTCCTCTTTCTCCCCTCACCCACAAGTGATTCTCCGTCAGAGTGCTGTGAATTCAAACAGCGTCGCGACGGTCTTTTCGTCCCTAGGCATCATGTCTTGAAGACGTGAATTACATTGCTACAGTGGTCAGCCTTGTGAATGGCCAGTGTCTGTCAATATTGCCTGTCTTCTCACATCCCTTCATCCTATCTGCCATCTCCTCCTCCTGTGATGCTCGCCTTTCTCATCTAACATCAATCTGACTACTTCTTTCTTGACCTGCAGACCACCACACATTCTTGCTCCAACCAAAGAAGTCTGTGCTGTACTGCCCGGTGGAAACCTCTCACAATGGCTCATCTCCAGAGAGATGAGCAGCCACGAGGTCGCTACCGATCTCGTGGAGTCGCTGTCCCGGTTGCCAATAAGGACATACGCAAGTATGTCCTCGAGAGTTACTCGGCTGCTGATGAGGGTTGGACTTCTAAACCAGAGATCCCTGCCTCGGACGAAGTCATGGGAATGTCCGGGGATGCAGAGGATGAAGATGTGATTCCTCTGATGCCGAACCAGATCGCTGGTCCCTGGCCATCCAGGGAGGCATACCTCAGTGCACACTACGAGCTGCTGAGAGAAGAATCCCTGGCGCCCCTCAGGGATGCAGTTGCCTATGTGAGGGAGAATCCATTGATGATGGATTCTAAGGAAGTCTGCATCTATGAGAAGGTATCTAGGCCTGTCGCGAGCTCGTTGTCGTCTCACAATGGCTGACTTGCTAACTCTCTTAGGTTCACATCATTGGCGTCACTTTCGCTCCGAAGGGAGTAGCCGCCAGGCTACAATTCTCGACTGCACGAGCCGGCAAAAACATCGTCTGGGAATATTCCAGACGGTTGATGAGCGGTTCAATTGTCGCCCTCTCTCCGGTTCAGGACCACTTCAAATCCAAATGCGTCGTCGCTGTGGTTGCTGCCAGGCCGCTCGAGCAGGTCAAGCAACAGCCACATCAAGTCGATATCTTTTTCGCTCGTGTTGAAGATGCGCAGTTTGACGTTCAGCAAGAATGGATCATGGTGGAGCCAAGGACAGGCTATTATGAATCAGTCCGATACACCATGACCGCTCTTCAGAGGATGACCAACGAAAGGTTTGTGACATTTCATGATGCTTGAATGAAGCTCGGTTGTCGACTAACATCGACTAGGTTCCCTTTGGTTGAACATATCTGCAATCTCAAAGCCACGATAGATGCTCCAGAATACGTCAAAGAAAATCCAGTTGTTGATCTTTCTCCTGTGCTGGGCTCCGACGCACCTTGCAATAACATTGATGTGCTCTCAGACTGGCCAGAACCACCATCAGACGGTCTAGATGCATCACAATGGGAGGCACTTCGTCAGATTTTGACCAAGCGCCTGGCTATCGTTCAAGGACCTCCCGGTACGGGGAAGACTCATGTATCGGTGGCTGCGTTGAAGGTCTTACTTTCCAACATGAAAGTCGGAGACCCTCCAATCATAATAGCCGCTCAGACCAATCATGCCCTTGACCAATTGATCAACCACGTTTCTCTCTTTGAGAAAAACTACGTTCGTCTTGGCGGAAGAAGCGCAGATCCTGAGATCAGGAAGCGTACGCTGTTCGAGATCCGACAGAAAAATCCAACGCCGAGCCTGAGTGGTGGTCTTCTTGCACCTGCTAGGAAAGACCTCCAGAACCATATTGAATCTATTACCAAGCTTCTTCAGCCTTTTAAGGCTGAGAATTCTTCTAGTCCACTTCCTGCTTCGTTTTTTCTCGAGTACGGCGTGTTGACACCAGCCCAATGCGACTCGTTGCGAGAAGGTGCAAAAGGTTGGATAGGTTCTGGCCTTGGGCATACAGAGGATCCTATGGCCACCTGGCTTGGCGATGGTCTGGTGAAATTCGATGTCGTTTACAAAGAGGAAAGCTTCGGCTTTGAGGAGGAAGATATCGACTTGGAATACGAACAGCTCAAAGAACTGGAAGCTGAAAGAGGCTTTGAAGACGACCTTGAAGCCCTCAAAGGCTTTCATATGCCATTGAAAGAAGGCTTTGTTGGTCAAAGCAGTCCGTCCACCTCAGAGAAAGTCATCCTCGAGACTCATCTCAAGCGCCGTGATTTGTGGCAAATACCAGCTAAGATTCGAGGCGCTGTTTACAATGTTCTTTGCAAACTGGCTAAAGGAAAGGTTCTTGAGGCCTACCAGCGGCTATTAAGATGCTATGAAAAGTCAAGCGTTGAGTTGCAGATTGGAAAATGGGAGAGAGACCTTGTTACACTTCAAGGTGCCAAATTGATTGGAATGACAACGACTGGCTTGAGCAAGTACCGCACTCTTGTCTCTTGTCTCAAGCCACGAATCATCATGATCGAAGAAGCGGCAGAGGTTATCGAGGCGCCGGTTGTTGTCTCCTGTGTTGAATCTCTCCAGCATCTCATTCTTGTCGGCGATCATAAACAACTGCAAGGGCATTGCCATGTCCGTGACTTGGAAGGGGAGCCATTCTTTCTCAACGTGTCTATGTTCGAAAGACTCGTCCATAATGGCATTGAATTCAAAAGTCTCACGATGCAAAGGCGAATGGCTCCCGAGATTCGACGACTGCTTACTCCCATTTACGAAAACCTTACAGACCATTCTTCGGTTGAGAAATATCCCAAAGTGCCTGGAATGGGAGACATCCGATCTTTCTTCTTCTGTCACACATGGCCGGAGAGCTCTGACAGTCTTGCATCGAAGTATAACCCCAATGAGGCGCAGATGATCGTTGGCTTCTTCTTACATCTGGTCTTCAATGGTATCCCCGTCAGCGACATTACCATACTGACCTTCTACAACGGCCAACGAAAGAAGTTGTTGAAACTATTAAAAGATAATCGCTATCTCCAAGGCCAGTACGTGAAGGTGGTGACCGTTGACTCTTACCAAGGCGAAGAGAACGAGGTGGTCATACTTTCGCTTGTCAGAAGCAGCGAGGAAAACCAGATCGGATTTCTTTCTGTCGAGAACAGGGTCTGCGTGGCCATGTCCCGAGCGAGACGCGGACTTTATATCTTCGGCAATGGGCAAGCGTTGGCACATGCGGACCCCTTGTGGTGGCAGATCATTAAGATCATGGGTAATGACGATAATGATCGCAGGCGGCTTGGTTTTCATCTGCCGTTGACATGCGGCAAGCATGGAAAGACGACTTTTGTTCAAGGTAGGCATAGCCCTTTGTGAATATTTCTCCCATGGCCCCCGTTGACATCAGCCGGTTTATTAGATCCGAAGCAGTGGGGTGCGACGAATGGAGGTTGTGAACTCCGGTGTGGTGAGAAGATGCCTTGTGGCCATGTTTGTGCTCTCCGCTGTCACAGGTAAGTTAATCTACACCCGAAAGGAAAAATCTTACGGCATGATTTTTGACATTGACCGTTGGCAGTTTTCCCCACAGCCAAGTTAGGTGTAACCGGGAGTGTGGAAAAGCGCTTCCATGCGGACATACATGTCGTGAACGCTGTTGTGCGGGTCGACCTTGCTCTTGCGAATGTGGCTTTGTCGCAAGCGAAACCCTCGCAGTCAAAGAGAATAAACCGAATCCTGCTCCGATTGTACTCTCGGAGAAGCTGCGAGATGATGCAAAACACGCTAGATTCATCCAAAGCTACAAAGACTTTGCGAACGGCGGGGCGAAGAAACACGATGCTTTGCTCGCCGAGAAGGCCAATGCTCTGGCTCTCGAAGAGATGCAGAAACACCTTGATCAGGAAGCCTGGAAAGACCTGTTTGGAGATGAACCTGCAGAGGAAGAGGTAGAAACAAAGCCAATGCTCGCCGTCACCGACAGTCCCGTGGGCAAGGGCGGTACTAGAGAGCGCTACGTGAATTATTTCAATCCGGATACAAGCCCGAAAAGTAGAGCGACAGATGATCGTCCAGTGGTCAGTCTTCTTGATGACGGTGAGTGAAACGAATCAAGGTAGACAGTCGAGTGTCGTTGCCGTATCTCCCTTTTTCCTTTCCGGCACTTTCTTATTCAGAGTTGCTACGGGTCGAAGGTGAGATGAGAATGGAGCAATGATGCGGTATGACAGAATCAGATAGCTAGGTGACCATGTACCTTCGAATGGAAGAATCTAGTCTAGAAATAGTCTCCGAATGACACAGAAGCACTGTCACCTGATGGAGGTGGTTTTCATAATAATATTTCAAGGGGATTATGGGTTTGATATTAGAATATTAGTAGTGTCTTGAGGTGTTGTCGATGATCAAAGGAGTGACTGGTTTACAAACAAGATGCCACCTTTCTAGGCGGCAAAGAGGGCTAGCTAATTAGTCCTGGGAGTATCAGCCTGTTTAAGCCCAACGTGATTCCATTTTCGGTCCGCCGACGGCACCAAGTTCTCTTGAGATCTAACTGTCAAAGCTCTCCTGATCGGCCGGTGCTTCTTGGGCATAAGACACGGTAACCTCTCTGGTGGCCACGATCTTGTTGTCTTTGTACTCAGGACCGAGGATCCGCTCTTCACTGGTGTTGTTCTTGGTGTAGCCCCTCGCATTCGCCTCGGTATCCATGGAATTTCCGGCAAAGACACGATTGTTGACGCTGTTCATCCGGTAGCTTTGATTCCGCGCTGCGCTGTCTGGATTCCCCGAATTGCCTGTGCTGCCTCGCTTCATGACGACCTTGTACAGCGGCCGCAAGACGGGGACGCCGATGCAGAGAAGCGTGATGCACAGCTCGGCCCCGCTCCAAACAACCAAGTCGACAGTACCATCTGAGACAACGACTCATTAGGAGCCTTTCTTTCTGCAGAGCACAGAGTGAAGGGGATGAGTCTTACAAGTATAGTCCGAAGTGCTGAACCCACGCAGCGATATCGTCCGAAAGATTCCGCATACCCCGGCTCTGCATTGCGGTCAGCTGACGGCATCCAAGTGTGAAGTTCATGGAAGCCCTACAAAATGCCCAGGCTCAAACCACCGGCAATGGTAAGCTTCTCCTTTCGTTTCATCTGAAGACCCCAGATGAAATACCACGGAAACGCAGCGAGGAAAAAGTCTTCGATAACGCATACGACTAATGAACGAATGTTCAATTAATAACGTTTCCTCAGGTCGGCAGGAGCAATATCGGACTCACTTCCCAGGGCGATCGCAGGTCCCTCGACTGTAATGTGGCATGTGCCTTTGACCCGTGGATCGTAGATTGCCTAACTCGGGATACACTGCGGCCAGAAGGTGAAGGCGCAGATCAGGGACGAGATGGAGATGGCGACGATGTTGATCCACAAGACCACCTCCTGCCAGAAGGAGACGACGATGCGCAGCAGGAAAAGGCCAAGGGAGATCTTGGCCACGGTCATGCCGACGACGACGAAGGTCTGCCCGATCATCTCCGTATACACAGCGTGCACCGCCTCGTCGATGGTCATTTCAGACATGTGCCTTCCGAACCCAGCAAAGGCGGTGAGCGTGATGAAGATCGTGTAGAGGAGCATCAGGATCTGGCCGTTCATTCATGATCAATACGATTTCTTGCAGGTTTCCTTCCACAACATACCCAGGCCAAGGTGTACACATAGTCATCCACACCAGGGCTGCGGATGAGAATGGACCGAGTGTACAGTCGCAGGACGACCATGACCAGGGAGAGGATGGTGAACATCCACATTGTCCAGAGGATCAAAGGTCCTCGACCGCCAAACTGCGACATGTTCCTGTTCCTGGTCGTCCAATGGAACGTCCTAAGCGTGAGACAGGAGCAGAACGAACCTGAGGATCTGGTGGGAAAGAACGGACGAATGCATACATTCAAGCAGACCAGAGACGCTGAGCTCGAATTAAGAACCAGAGTATGGAATACTGTCGACACATCGTGACTTAAATCTCACAACTATCCGTCTCCCTCGCTCTCATCGATCAATTCGTCGATGGCTCTCTTCAACAGGGGTTTCTGAGAATAGCTACGGAGCACTCTGGACTAGCAAGAGAGGCATGTTGAACTACATCCCAATCCAGCAAAACGTTTTTACGACTACGAGGCAATTCTGACAGGGGTCTGACTAGTTGAATTGGGGTTTATTTCGTATTAACGACCTTCATCACGGCTCAAACTTGGTCCTGCTGAATTACAGAGGCACTCCTGGTAGACGAAGTATATGAAACAGAGCAACCCTAACTGTGCCAGCTCGCCGGTTCGATAGCGCTCGGATGGGGACTGAAGAACAACGAGCCAATGCCCGGCTGCAGACCGCAGATTAAGTCCGCTGTCAACGAGCGCCGATCGTTCATCGGCGATGCTTGGCATCGTCCATTGCCAATGACCTAAAGAATCTGCACGGGCGGAACAGATGTCCCGAATCTCCCCGGGCACTGGCGCGTCGCTGTCTGAAGATGACTGTCGCCGGCGTACTCGGTAAAGTGTTCTGGGTCTGCCAACTGTCTGCGCCGCAGGGCTGGACTTGTGCCACACCACCTGTCAATGCCTATTGGAAGGCCTGTCCACTCCTTCATGTGCATCCTCTCCCTGCCAAGCATCAATATAGGCAGAGCGAGCAGATGAACTGGCCACGTCGATCTTCCTGCAGCAGCAAGTGTCTGCCATTGGCCGTCAGACGCCCATGATAACTCAGGGCGTCGTGACTCGTGAGATGACCCATGGAGGGCTCGTACAGCTGCTAGCGGCATTTCTCCAGTATGTCTCTCAGCCGTCTCCAGGTCGTTCGAGCTCTACTGCACGGGAAGTGGAGCCGTCACCTGTCCAGAGCTGAGAAGTACGTATGTACTGTGCGTACGTACCGAGTACATGTCCATAGTTCAGGAACGACTTTTTAGAATCAGTCTTGGCCAGCACTGGAGAACTCCATCCAGGGATAAGTAAGGACGATGTTAAATTACTCCTGCGACTCCCCGCCCCTGTTCTCTCGGCCACCTGGAGGATTTGTTTCTTGAATACTCTACCACCTCGAGCCTGCCATGGCCTTCATAACGGCTGTTGCAGAGGCCCTCTTCGGGCTGTTGTTCCTTTTCATAGTCGTCCAGATTTGGAAGATCCAGAAGTCACCGTTAAATGGCATCACCGGGCCATTTTTGGCGAGTACGACTATCCTTCACGAGTCGCTGGAACATTCAGATGAAGGTGACGCTAACAAGAAGACAGATGGACCAATCTCTGGCGCTTCTTCGACGTAGTGGAAGGCCGTGCGGAGGTCACCTATCGGGCTCTGCATAATAAATACGGAGCAATAGTCAGGATGGGGCCAAATATGGTCAGCCTGAACGATCCATCATGGATCAAGACCATCTACGCAGTCAACAGCAATTGGCTGAAGGTATGTCAATGCCAATGTCAATGCTAACTCAGCCAGTAGTGGTACTCACCTGTCTCGTCTCAAGTCGGATTTATATCACGGCAGCAGCGTGCTCCAGGACGGGAAGATCGTCTATACGCTTTTTGGCGAGACAGATCCCTAGACGCATGCTCGCATGAAGCGTCCCATCGCAAAGTTCTACACGACAAATGGTGTTCTTCCTCTGGAGCCTCACATCGACGACATAATCTCGCTGTTCTGTCGGCGATTGGAGGAAGAACATATCAACTACCCGAATGCAGGCAGACCATGTGATATGGCAAACTGGCTGCTTTACTGTTAGTTTGGTTTCCCTTTCAAAGTTGAGGAAGATGCTAATAGAAACATCCAGATACCTGGGACGTCATCGGCGGCCACATTTAGCACCCCATTTGGCTTCCTGGATAAGGCCAGCGACATCGACGGCACGATGTCTGTTGCAGACAAGGCGATGGACTACTTCGCCGCCGTCGGCATGATCCCGGTTCTGGACTATTTCTTCGACAAGAACCCGATCTATCGCATCGGGCCCCCTGCTTTTACGTTCGTCACCAACACGTCCCTCAAGTTTGTGCAGGCCCGCCTCACGGGGGAGGACAAGCATGATATCTCCAAGCCGGATTTTCTGGACCACTTTCTGGAGGCGAAGAAGACGCATCCGGACATCGTGGATGACCGGATGGTGATCTCATACCTGCTGATCAACATGATTGCTGGAGCGGACACGACTGCCATTGTCCTCCGCGCGGTGATTTCCTACACCCTGAAGAACCCTCGCGTGTACAAGAAGCTGAAGAAGGAGCTCGACGAGGCGAACCTGCCCACCCCTGTGAGCTACAAAGACGCTCGTACCCTTCCATACCTGGATGCTGTGATCCAAGAGTCGATGCGCATCCACCCGGGCATTGGGATGGCCCTGGAGCGCATTGTCCCGCCAGGCGGCGTGACGATCGCCGGCCACTACCTCCCTGCTGGCACCGTCGTGGGGATCAACCCATGGGTGACGTCCATTGACAAGAACGTCTACGGTCAGGATGCAGAATGCTTCCGCCCAGAGAGATGGCTGCAGGAGGAAGACGAGGACCCGGAGGCGTATAAAGAACGCCTGCAGCGGATGAAAAACTGCGACCTGACGTTCGGTGCCGGGAGCCACATCTGCATCGGGAAGAACCTGGCGCTGCTCGAGGTCTACAAAGTCATTCCGACGTTGTTATTGCTGTACGATGTGAGTATCTTTTCTTCTCTTCTCTTTGAGCTGAAGAATCTAGTTCAGATACTGACGTGAATCATATGGAACTGGTGGACCCGACGAAAGAGTGGAAGATTCACAACAGCTGGTTTGTGCGGCAGCAGGGGATCGAGGTTCGACTTGCGCGGAGGAACAAGGCAAGCCAAGCTTGATTATTGACTGTCATTCATTTTTTTTTCTCTTCATGCTTTCTTGATTCTGGATGGACGAAGGAGGCAGAGTCAGATACAGCCCTGACCCTAAGCCCTAAGCCCTATCCTTTTGCGGTGACAAATAGTCTCCGCTGAGACCATCTTTCTTTGTATGTAGTTAGGTATTTATTACTTTTATTTTATCGTGTTGACATCCAGCAACCAGTCTTTTATTTTTATTATCGACGTTCTAGTCTTCATTCGAGAGCTATTCACGTGAAGTCAGAAACCCCGACACTTTACCTGATGTGCACATTGCTGTCCTGTCCATGCATTGGCTATCCGCAGCTGATGCCATATTGGCGTCGATGTCGTGATCGCGGAACGAAGCACGTCGTCGACTTTGCGCAAAAACGACCTGCCTAGCTGGGCACGACGCGGTTGATGACCGGCGTTAGCAGCGTCAGAAGAAATGCTCTGTGCTCGACGCTCTTGCAGGTTATTCGTTCGGGATGACATATCAACTAATTGTTATGGATACGAGAGCTTACCCCAGACCTTGGCTTTGCTCGCAGCACAACTGCCGTACCCGCTCTCGTGTTTACAGAGTACCGGCTAATCAAATGTGTCAATACGCATTGGCCACGGCTCTCCACATGGAGATGGTTTTTTTTTATTAGAAATGTCAGCAGCTCGCGGATGACAGTGTCATTATATAAAGCTGAAAACGACCAAGACAAATCGGTTGAGTGGTACCTGCAAACGGCAGGAAAGAGAAGGGAAATATATCATCAACGATATGAGATAAAGTACTGGCAATACATGTAATCATGGACTCCAGAGCTCCCCCTGTCAGCGGCGATGATGCAAAGATCGAGGCTGTCGCAGCAGTCACAACCACACCAACCGCAACGACAAAAACGAACGATGCTTCCTTCTCAGCCGTCTCCCTCCCAGACTCCTCCTCTCAAGCAGCGTCCGCAGACCGCGACGACAGCTACGACATCTACAAGCAGTACCAGCACGCCGAGTTCTCGCCCGAGGAAGTCAAGCGCGTGCTGCGCAAGATCGACCTTCGGCTTCTGCCTGTGCTGATCGTGACGTACACGCTGCAGTACCTGGACAAGAATGCGATCAATTTTGCGTCCGTGTATGGGCTGCAGAAGGGGACGCATCTGACGGGGCAGGATTATTCATGGTTGGGTGTGTCATATATTCACAGACAAGAAAAAGAAAGTAGAGGTCACAAATGCTGATTTTGGCGTTTTGTTCAGGCTCCATCTTCTACTTTGGCTATCTGATTGCGCAGTATCCTGCGGGATATGTCCTTCAAAGACTCCCAATCGGCAAAGTTCTAGGAATTACAACGATAAGTAGGCATTCCATCGCTACAATACTCCTACTGAGTCGACCGTTCCAAACTAACCATCTCTCTTTCTGTCAACAGTATGGGGCGCTTTACTGATGACCACACCCGCCTGCCACAATTTCGCTGGCATTGCGACAAACCGCTTCCTGCTCGGCCTCGTCGAGGCCATCGTCAACCCAGGCTTTGTCCTCATCATGAGCATCTGGTACACGTCGACGGAGCAGCCGTTGCGGTTGGAGGCGTACTACTGCACTAATGGCATAGCAACGATGTTTGGAGGGTGAGCTTTTTTTCCCCATTCTTGATAAAAAGCATATATACACGGACTTAGGGTTGACGCATACATATGTACTGTACAGTCTGATCGGCTACGCAGTCGGAAACATCACAACCGGCTTGCCCCGGTGGATGTACGTCTTTATCATTTTCGGAGCCGTCTCCGTCGCGACGGGCATCTGGTCGCTGCTCGTCCTGCCGGACTTGCCCTCGACAGCCAAGTTTCTGACTGAGCGCGAGCGAGCGATTGCCGTAGAACGCGTGGCGGCCAACCGGCAGGGCGTCAAGAACCGCCATTTCAAGTGGTATCAGGTCAAACAGGCCGCACTGGATCCGAAGACATGGCTGCTATTCATCATGGCTGTAGGGGCGCAGATTCCTAATTCGGCGTTGACGAGCGTACGTACAGTACATACATACATACATTCATTACTTGCAGAAAGGCTATGTAAATGAATGGATTGCATACTGACCAGATCGTGACGTGACCAGTTCACATCCATCGTCGTCCAATCCTTCGGCTTCGACACCCTGGGCACACAATACCTACAGATCCCAGGCGGAGCAGTACAATTCCTCGCGCTGCTCATCGGCGGGATGATCGCAACTCGCTACGCGGACCGGTTCCACGCGCGCAGCACCTGCATGATCGTCGCCAACAGCATCTGCATCATCGGCTCGGCGCTGCTCGTGGCGCTCCCCGAGGCCAACAAATGGGGGAGACTGGTCGCGCTCTGGCTGTGCTATTTCCAAGGGCTCGGGTTCAGCCTCAGCCTGACTATGGTCAGCTCCAACATTGCGGGATACACCAAGAAGCAGGTCACGGGCGCGATGCTCTTCACGGGGTATTGCGTGGGGAATATCATTGGGCCGCAGACGTTTAAGGCGAGTGAGGCGCCGCGGTATCATAGTGCTTATGTTGCGTAAGAAGCCTCTTCTTCTCACAGTAGATAGTATTATTATATGGCTGACTAACAATCTGGTATATTACTACAGCATGCTAATCGGCTACGCCGTCAAACTCATCGCCATCATCGTCCTGTACCTCTACATGTATCTCGACAACAAGCGTCGAGATCGCGAAGCTGCCAGTACTGAAACAGCAATAACAGCAGGGCCCGAGGACCAAGACGCGATTGAGAAGGGGATGCTGGTAAGTTTTGCTTGCTACCATACCCTTAATGTTCAACAGATTTTTGATATTGCTACGCTGATGGGCCAACTGACTAACTTTGTGAACAGGACCAAACTGAGCTCGATAATAAAGGGTTCAGATATGTCCTGTGAATGAATTGCATACCGACTGGTTGGGACAGAGCTGAGTACAGTGAATGGGACATAATAAACAAATAAAATAACGAGATGTAGTTTTTATCATATATATTTATTTATTATACGAATGCATCTACCAACTCTAGCTAGAAAGCCTAGTTAAGTCAGTTCTATTGCCAGCTATGGACAGACAGGCAGGCAGACACTCTGGGACATGATCATAGTTGACACGATGCAAAAAAAGAACAATCCAAGACGCATTTCTATAGCCCATGAGACAAATGTGAAAAGAACAGCAAAATGCCACCCATTATGCAAATCAGTTCAGTGATGTAAATCCTGAGAACCGTCCGGCTTTTGAAATGCAAACAAACAAAGTATGACTATATATACACCAGCAACGGCCCAGAAATTGTCTGTGTTGTGCGCTGAGTATGTATTCGTTCATCTTCATCACTCGCTAACATTGGCGGCCTTCTGCTCCCACGCTTTCTTCGCCCCCTCTACCAACACGTCCAGATTGCCGCTGTTCTCGCACATGCCTCGGAAAACGCCGCCTTCCCTGCTGATCAACACCCATGGATGATCGAACTCGACGACTTTGCCATGGTCCAGCACGAGAACTTTGTCGTAATCAATGATCGTTTGCAGTCGATGGGCGATCGTGATAATGGTGCTGTTCTTCAATTCCCGCAGTGTCTCTTGGATCTTCGCGTCTGTCGCGTAGTCAATCGACGCCGTCGCTTCGTCCATCATCAGCACTCGGGGATTCTTGAGTAGCGCCCGGGCAAGGCACAGCAGCTGGCGCTGTCCCTGCGAAAGGTTTGACCCAGATTCCGAGACAGGACTCTCCAAGTTGAGGAACATGTTCTTGTTCTCCTGCAACGCCGCACTGCCCTCCGACCCGTCAGGACCAGCAGCGGCCGTCTCCGCGACAGAGAGGTTACTCGGACTCGACGGTGTGGCCGATCCGGGCGTGTACTGTCCAATGAGATGCACCCGGCGAAGGGCCGTGAAGATCTGCTCGTCCGTGAACAACCCGAAAGGATCCAGGTTACTGCGAATAGTTCCAGTGAAAAGCGTAGGATCCTGCGGGACAATAGTGATGTTTTCTCGCAGATCCTGCAGCCCAATCTTGCTAATGTCGACACCATCAATGATGATCTGTCCACTTTCGGCCTCCAATCCTCGGAAAAGAGCAAGAGCTAGCGAGCTCTTCCCTGCTCCGGTTCGTCCAACAATTCCGACTTTCTCTCCGGGCAACACCGTGAAACTGATGTTCTTGAGAACGAGGTCGAGGTCAGGACGATACCGGGTCGAGTAATTAACAAATTCCACCGCGCCTTGGCTGGGCCAGCCCGGTGGCGGCCTCGAATCAGGAATGACAGCCTGCGCTTCCTGGTCGACCTCCAGATACTCTTTGACCCGTTCGACAGCGTTCAAGTTCTGCTGCGCCTCCGCATACAGCCGGACCAGCCAGAGAATATTTTCCGTAAATGTGATGGCGTACGTCAACGACAGACCAGCCGCTCCTGCGTCGATTCTGCCAATGTTCAACAGCACAAAAGCAGCGGAGAAAAATGACACCATGGCACCGGTCATGTCGACGCGGAACGCCAGCCACCGGTTACTAGCCCATAGATAGATGTGCGGCCGGTTGTATGCGTCGATCCGTCGGTGATTGTCAAGGATGAACCGTTGGCTGTCGCCATATGCTCGGATCGTCACAATGCCATTCAAGGTCTCTCCGAATTGCTGATAAAGAGGACTTCGCTGCACCGATTCCAACCGTTTCAAATCACGAGAAGCATTCAGATAGACGGCTCCAAGCGCAGAATACAGCATTGTAATAAAGACAGCCGCAATGAGGAAGCCAGGCGTAATAACTGAGATGAGAATAACAATCATGACGACGGATGCCAGACTGTGAAGCATGCCGATAGCAACGGGAGCAACCTCCTGGTCAACAGCTTCCACATCTTTGGAAAAGCGATTCATCAGCTGACCCAAGGGAGTCGAGTCGAAGAATCTAAACCTGGCATGAAGGACAGCCTTCAACAACCGCTCATGAAGCTTCCATGACGCGTGCAGAGAACCCCAGAAGAGAACACCTTCCCTGGTCATTGAAATGATCACGTAGACGAGACCAAGCAATGCGTAAATACCCAGGTAATATGCCACGTTGACATCACGGCCGGGAGATGAATTTGGAGGGCTGTTGAGCTGATGAGCACTCCACGAGGTTGTTCGCGGCACATTACCAGCGATGAAGGATGGGAACTTCAACTGTGCCATGGCTGCATATCCTCCCACATCCTCCTGCATGGGTTTCTCTGCATGATAGGCATTCGCCCACTGTCGGATCCAGACATTCGTGGCGACCGACCCGAACTGCTGAGCACAAAATACGCCAACAGCAGCGATCCAGTAATACCACGCACCCATGGAATTCAGATACATCTTCACGGTCGACCATTTCACACTTCCGACGGCCTTGGCTTCGTGCAGTTTGGCAGGACGCGACCCCTCGCCATCCGAGTCCTTGGAACCAGGGCGTTTGGTCGTTCCGTTCGGTTGGCCTTTCACGACGGATGCATCTCCATCTCGTCCATCCGGTTGATGCTCTTCCAGGTCAGACGGAACGCGGGATGGCCGGCGAGAGCCGGCTTGGGAGGAGGGTCGCGACTTGAGCAGTTCCTCACCGAGAGCGCCTGACGCTGCGACTTCGTCGGGAGAACCCTGAGCAGCGACTTTGCCATTGTCGAGGACGACTACATAGTCCGCCTCAGGAACCGTGAGAGCCACATTGTGCGTGACCAGAATGCAAGTTCGGTGCATCATAAGCGGGCCCCTGATAGCCTCCCGGAAGATGTGCTTGGCAGTGTGCGAATCAACAGCGCTGAGACAATCATCCAGGAGCAGGTGCCGCGCTCGACTATACAGGGCACGAGCGAGCGAAATGCGCTGTTTTTGGCCACCGGAGAGACTGATGCCTTTCTCACCTACAAGGGTCTGATCTCCAGCTTCGAGGATGGCGAAATCCCTCTCAAGGGCGCATGCCTTGATGACGGCGTTGTAACGCTGCTTGTCGAAAGGTGAGGCAAAGACTATGTTCTCCTTGATGGTGTCATTGACCAACCACGCCTCTTGGGCACAATAGGCAACGCTTTCGGTGAGCAAAGTTTCCGGGTCCACAGGAAGTTCTGCTCGGTTAGTGGTGACCCCAGGAAGATAGACCTGGCCCTCCAGAAGTTTCATCTCCCCCAGAAGCGCCATCAAGAGGGACGTTTTCCCTGAACCAGTAGGACCGGCAATCACGTTGAGCTTGCCCAGTCGGAAAGATACGTTGATATCAATTAAGCGGAAGGCGTCGTCCGTGCCACTTTCATTGGCACGAGCACCGGCTTTGGGTTTTGAAGAGCTCCACGTCAAGGTGGCTCGTTCGAGCGCGATCTTGGGAGACTCTCCCGGAAGCCGAGAGCTACGCAGCTGAGTGTACTTCTCCGTTTCTTCCTCGTTCAGAAAGGCTTCCACTCGGTCGATGGACACCTTCGACTCCTGGACGTGGGCAATCATGTCGGCCAGCTGGTCCAAAGGCACGCGGAGCAGCGAGAACATGGACAATGCAGGAAACGCAATGGAAGGGGTCAACCGCTTCTTCTCGACGACGGTGTACAGGAAGAAGGAAGTGAAAGTGATCAGGATCGGGCTCCCGTACCACACGGTCGCAGCAATGGACCAGACGATGTACCGGACGCGAAGGGACTTGAGCTCTGCACGTCGCTTCTCGTTGACAATGTCTTCGAAGCGCTGTTCCCAGGCAAAGTATTTGATGATCCGGATGTTCTGCAAGACTTCGTTGGTGGAATGAATGCGAGCATCCGTCTTAGCAAGGATTGTGTTCTGGATGTCTCGGAACTTTCGCGCAATCATGACATTGACCGGAAGAAGCAGGACCATCAAGGCGATGCCGGCAAAGGAGCTAAAGCCGAGCACTCGATACAACAAGGTCACGGCCATAATCACTTGCACCGGCACGCTGGCCCAGAGGAAATGCAAGTACGCGCATGACTCGCTGACCTTGAATGAGTCGATCGCCATCAGGTTAATGATGGTGCCAACCTTGGCTTGGTTCTGGCCGATCTCCTCCGCAGACGGGGAGGAATCCGATTTGTCCGCCTTTTTCTTCTTGCCACCGTTGATGGAGAATTTCTTCTTCTTGGGAGACTCTGGCGGCTGCTCATCCTGCTTCTCCTTCGTATGGTCAGTGGTGGCGCCCGCTTTCCGTCTCAATGCTTTGGCGTAGATCTCCCCAATGATGATGGCCCGTAGCTTCAGCCCAATCTTCCGACCGATCCAGAGGGCCTGGCCATCTGCAGTGCCCTGAATGGCGCCCGAACAGAACAGCAGGATCGCGTAGAGCCAGGCGGCATTCGCCGGCGTCGACCGTGGATCTTCGACGTATTCCAAGATGGCTTTCAACAGTAAGGTGGGCAGGAACGTGAAGAGATTGGAGAAGACGGTCCAGGCAGCCTGGATAATGAGCATTCGATCGAAGTAGCGCAGCAGTCTCCAAACAAGCCTATAGTGCTTGTACGCGCGACGGAAATCATCGAGAACGGCGCCGGCATGTTGAGAAACGGTCAAGTTCCAGACGTCGTCCAGCTCCAAGGTCTGTCGATAACCCTTGAAAATTAGAGGATCCAGCCAGGAGAAAGTGGCGAGGGAAAGGAGACTGGCGGTCGGATGACGGGGCGGTTCGAGACCGTCCTCGTGCTGAACCAGAACCGTTTTGTTTCCTCTCCGGGTGGTCAGCGCGAGGAGCAACAGCACCGTCGACAGCGAGAATTCCAAGACGGTTAGGATGAGAGCGCGTTTGGACAGGGGATGGATAATGGCGGAGCGGAAGACAAAGACGGTGGCCAGCCACTGGATGCCATAGAGAGCGGCGGTGTGATTCCAAAGTCGGGGGCGGATATGGAGATCCAAGGTCGACAACAGTAACCGGACGGCAGCGAGGAACAGGATGTAGGCCCAGGATATTAAGCGGGCGACGGCCGGAATGGTGCCATAGCGACCCCAGGCGTGGGTAACGAGCACCGCAACGCAAACGCCTACCTCGGCCAACAGAGCCAGGATCTCGACCACCACCAGAGCGACTTCACCTCGCGGTCGACTGACTTCAAAGTCGCCATGAGACGCCCGGCTAGCAGCCTTGTGCAGCACTAAATCTGCAACCTCCTCATCGTCGTCCACCTCGTCCGGAGTATCGACGCCATTTCCATCCGCGGGGCTGTTCCGAAGAGGCTTATACGTGGACCGTCGCCATGCGATGAGACGATGGTAGGCAAGCTGGAAAAGAATGATCAGGAGGGAGATAGCACAGGCGGTCAGAGGGAAGATGATCTGGAGGTAGCTGCGAAGAGCACCGTGAGCATGGGGACGTCCTTGATTTCGTGGCTTCTCGTCGCCGAACTTACTTGCGTTGAAAGCAGAGAGTGAGGTCATCGATGACCCAAATGGGACGACGGCATGGCAACCCCATGACGGGTCGCAATCAGCGGACGGGAAAGGAGAGAAGGGTAGCGGAGAAGGGAGAGAGGAGCAAGCAGGCGGTTCTAGCTGTCTAGGTAGGTATTCCTCATTTGGGATTGTCGATTGCCTAGACCTTTCGACGAGGGTTGCGCCCGCGTTACCGACCGCTTTCCACCGACGGGACAAGCAAGGCGGGCATGTCAAGGCGCTTGGCAAGGGTCCAGGCAGGCAATGAGTAGATTGCAACGACGGACTGGAGCTGTTGCTGCGGTCAATTGGGGCCTCAGACGGCTGAGCAGGGAGGAACAAAGAAGAGAGGAAGGAGGATGAAAGGAGCAGATAGATAGCAGATAGATGGAGGACGGCCTTCGAGACCGCCTGGTGGAGTTCGTCGCTGCAGGCACGAGCAAAGACCAGCTGCCCACGCCAACGGCTGCGCTTTCCGAGCCGCCTCCCATTCGCCAAATCGCCTTTTTTCTAGTTAAAAAGTTCGACCGACCGACCCCGCCAGCTCCACCGCCGCCAGCATATCCCAGCTATGGCTCTTCTTCACCGAGCTGAACGTTGCACTTAGAATACAACCATCGCCACTTTTAATTTCTGTCTCGATCAATAATCGCGGACAGTCCTGCCTCATGCAGACAATCCCCCGTATTCTCTGACCGCCAGGGTTCTTCCGGGAAACCCCGCCGTTGAAGTCAGCCCAGGATTCCACCGCCAATGGGCCAATGCACTGCCAGATAAGACTAAGCGAGATGCTAAGAGATAGCTTGAAGAACACATTCCTGGCGGTCCGTTTGGCAATGCAGGAAGGATTCGAATAATGACTCATGTTTACTAATTGGTCTCTCTGGTAGTGGACGGCCAGAGCAGCAGTCATCCAGACAGAATTGCTTCCTCTACTAATAACCTCTTGATGAATGATCTCTCATAAGCACGTGATGTACCACTGCAGAGTACCTGTACCTAGGTAGAATCTTCATTCCTGGAGTTGCTCACCAGATTACCTATGACTTGGCACAGTATACTCCGTATGTTTTACTATGGGACGAAGCTTTGATGTCCATAGCGCGCACCCTGTTTTGCGACATTGCAATATGGCAACCGCGGTTTGTTCCAGGCAACCGCTACTGGGTAGGCCCTACACTTCCATACGGATTCCTCTCCATCGAAACTTGAAAATGTATCCGCTCGCTCTCAAGTTTGCCAGGCTTCCAGAATACTCAGTTTCCACCCAGAACTCTGCTTGAGTCTTTCCACTCATGATGGAAAATTCTCAAGGCTCTTGTGGCCGAGCTCGTCGAGTCCTGGCAGTAAAAGGAATGAGGCAAGATGGTATATTGCCCCAAACAAGCGCTGCAATGTGCCTAATCGCCTTCGTGAGCTTTACCCTCCTAAAATTCGAAGAAGATCTTCCTTACTAATGAGGTTCAGAATCCGTGTTGGACGACTATGAGTTGGCACTTGGAACTAAATCCCCGAACGATACACTGATACGGTCCAGGCTCGATGCTATTTTCCTTTTATCTATAGCGGAGAAGAAAAATGAGCACGGACAGCTTGATAGACCACTCACTACCTGATGCAAATTGGAGTTGCGTGTCTGATACACTCGAATCACTCTGTTGGAGTTTTCATCAGAGAATCTCCATGCCTTATTATATCTTTAAGAGCGGGTGGCGGCTGCTAGGGTGAATCGCCGACTATATTTTATGGTACGGAGACCGGGAAGAGTTGGAAACAAATTTGATTGTCGTTAGAGCAACGGAACTCGCTGGTATTCGAAGCTGGCTACTGCTTGCATATATGTGTAGGTCAGCACTTCCGGTATTGAACATCTCCGCCGTCTAACCTTTATAACAGCAATGATCCATTGGGCCCGAAAGAAGGCAGGCAGGAATGCAGCCATTTATGGTATCTGCACGGATAGCTATGAGTGGGCTTTTGCGCATATCGACAACAAGAGTCGAGTAAGATTGCTGTCTGCAAGTTGGAAGACTGAAGATAATTAATTTATATAGTATACACGTCGGTTTTTGCACTGGATGCATGGCCAGGAGCAAGAGATCATCGCCCAAGTGAACAAAATCGTGGACCAGGCGGCCGTTCTCGCGGCGACTGCAACTAGACGCTCGTCTCAGTCAGGGCGCAGCGTGAGCGAATTGACTCATTGCAGAGTCTCCGATGTAGACGATGAAATGGGCGATTCCGACGAGCCTGACGATTGAAAGGAGTGGTGCTGTGGATGCATACCCGACTCCAACAGCAAAATTCTCAACACTTCCATCTTAAGGCTGGTGGTGGGATAGGAACCTTATATCTTGCTTTTTCTACCTCGATTAATGTACTACCTCCTTAACCTCTTCCCAGCTTACTTGTGCCTAATAGTATAGCAGAAATATTAAATTAAAGGCTATCCAGTAGGCTCAGTTTTTCCGGCTTGCAAAGACCCATCCAAGAGTCTGTGTGAAGTATATCCATAATTGTTTCATCTAAGAGCTTCTTTCCTCTTAAGCAGAACAACCTCTTCCTTATGACTCTTGAATTAAGCTGTAAGATTGTTAATATGATGTTAGAAGGTTAAAGCTACTACTTAGAAACTTTCAATCAAGTAGTTCATTCTATCACGACTCACCCAATAGGGAGCATTCTATTAGGTAGGTCGCTCAGTTAGGTAGTTGCCAGGGAAGGGCCCCCACCTCTCGGCTACTGAAAAGACCAGTATGCAAAGACTGATGACTTCGCACTGCTCTCACTTATATGCTTGCCTAGATCATCACACATTCTACATATTCTTGTCTTATAAATATTAAGTGGCTAAAATCAAGACCTTTCCTTTCATTTTATGTCTTGAGAATTAAGCTACTAAACCTAAAAATAACTATAAGAGTCTATTATGTAGTGGTACGTCTTATCTTCGAGCTCCAGGTAGATGGACATCCCTTCCGCAAGTCACATGCGGAGTCCATGGCTCATCACGTGTCCTGATTGTCCATCATGTGTATAGATCGAGGATCCTTTCTTGGAGCTTTGTCAAGTATCTCTCATAGTAATTAGATCTACCATTAAGCTCTAACATCTGTAGCATATCTTCTGGCAAGGACTAGATTTCATCTTCCTTTGCCATAGTCCAGCTCATTAGGTGCTTAGGACCTTTTCTTTTCCCTTTTAAAGACTTGGTATTCTGTCTTTATTTTCTCTCCTTCTACCCTTTGATCACTAGGTACTTTGTTATCTTTTTTTCTCTCTTCTTCTCCCCTGCGCTTTGGTTATTGATTGGGATCTCTATTATTAACCAGAATGTCCAATTCATCCTTTTTTTCTTTCTTTATTTGCTTCCTCCCACCAGTCATTCGAGGCTGACCCTTGCGTTCCTTTGGAAGTGTCATTCTTATGGGATCCCTGAGGAGGGGTTCTTTCCCGATTGGGAACAGGAGACCCAAGGAGTTCCTTCCCGATTCAGTACAGAGGTCTCTGCCCTCATGGCCAACCCCTTCTTCTATATCTATACAATTGCCAATATCCAAAAATAAAGCCAAAAGGCTATCTATAGTCTAACTTGAGGGAGCAGATAGTCTTAACCATATTTGCTTTGTACTCTTCTACCGATTTGGCTTAACTCACCTCACCACTACAGGTAACCAACCAGACTTCTATGGCAGCACCCCTGGTGCTTCGCTTAACCTCTTCTCTCACAAACATCCTTCTCTTCCTCGTCTCCTTAAAGTTGACTCGGGTATAAGCTGAATCTCTTTCCTTTAAATCACTTTGGCTCACCTGCTTGGCTTCTGCTCGAAGCCGCCATTCACTTTTTCTTCTTCTGTTGTCTACTGATCTCCTGTCTGATAATCTATCACAATGGAGTGGTTTGATATTCTTGAAAGCAAGGTCAAAAAGCTGTTTCCCAAGATCTCTGACCCAGACATTTGTGAACAGCTCGAACAGGCATTCACAATCGCGAGGTCAGAGAGTCAGGTCCCCACTCGAGCTGTTACAGACATTAAACCCGACCAAGTTGTCAAAATGTTCGGGCTTCGCGTCGATCAGAATTCAGATGCTGTTTGACATCTGGCTGCAAATGAGCAACGCTCATTGCCTGATTACCTGAGTGAGGCCAAAGTCTTAATATGAACCTGTGCTGTTGCTAAGTCAATATAGCATCCATCCTAGCAGACTGTGAGCTTGCAGTTGGTGGTGCTGGGAAAAATGAAGCACTGATTCGAGCACGAGTTGACGCAATTCTCTTGACAACACTTGCAATTAAGAAGAAGGAAGAGTTCAGGCAGCCTGCCAATCACGCCTCTACTGATACAGTACCTTCATACAAATCGCTTCACTGGCAATTCGAAACCATGGTCAAGCTCCCTTGGACGTATAAAGGCGAGCATTTCATGATCAGCGGTTCGACCGATTTATTCCTTATGGTATGGCAATCCAGAAGACAAAGAAACAAATATGGTGATTGTCCAAGCGAAGAAGCCTGGCCTATCAGGTGCTAGCTACTACCAAGCTCTGACGTACATGGGTAAGTTCAGAGCTTCCATTATGTATCAACACGTCGCTCACATACCAGCGATGATACACCATGCACGAAAAAGGGCTGGCAGAGCAGACACAACAATTTTTGGCATCGCGATCGACAGCTAACGACACTTGTGTAAGATAATCCTTTAAGGAGATTGAAAGAATAAGTAAACTAATCTATTTAGTATTCCTCGTGCTCATTCCGCTGGGAGATGGGCAACCAGGTTGAGATAATCTCATTGATCCACAGGATCATCGAACATGCGGCAATTCTCTCCCGGTGACCACCAGAACATCCAATCTTTCCAGAAAGCGAAGCTTAGCAGAGGCAAGTGGCTTGACTTGGTCGGATTCACACCCACCAAAGCTGCCATCACTCAGGAGGTGATGGACACGGAGGAGGAATGGAACCCATTTGGTCAAGGCACCAGCCGTCGGCACAATTAAGGGCTGTGTATATTAGTCTGTAGATAAAGCAAACATAACCAAGAATAGATGCTCTAATCCTTGCTTCTGGATGTTCAAGAGAAAATCCAGGGGAATTAAGAGGCTTTTCGCATAGACTGTACTGGTTAAGCAAAACTTGTATGATAACTATTGTTCGTTAGACTAGTAGTTATTTTAGGGGTTTCATCACTAGTTATTCTCCGCTTAAAGATTATTTGTAGTTCCCAGAGATGGGACAGAGAATCAATAGCAAAAATGCCTTATGAATTCTTCCTTGGATATGATGAGAATAGAGCAAAAGAACACAGCAGAGAAGAGCACAACGCCCAAGCAGTGAGCTTATAGAACATGCACCCTGGTGCCAGGCATCATGGGAATGCTTTCCCCAAATAGGAACACTAAACCATTTCAGGTAATTTAGCGTCACCCCCGGAGCCAAGTGTATGGAGTATTCAGTACTCCATGTGCTGTCTGGAGTCTGGAGTATGGGTCTAGATAAGGCACCACTACTAAAAGTAATCCTGAACTACCCTGTCAGGCACAACCTTGCCCTAAGGACCTTGAGAGATGCCTTTGCCATATGGCATAAAAACAGTAGAATAGTACAGAGAAGGGTCCTCAGGCTTCCATTCTTAGGTAGATACTCTGTACGTGAATAATATTACTACTTGCCACTATACAAAGTTAATCATCGCTGGGCCATTCACGTGCAAAGAAATGATGCAGTGACAAACTACTCCTGCCTAGATCTTCCCTTAAAAAAATAATAAATCAATAGATGACAGTGCTAACTACAACTTGTGCAATACTTCATGACTACTGGTAGACAAAGAACTTGAACTAAACCTATCACTGCTCATGTCTGCCTATCCGTTAGCGCGCTCTCCGTCCCGTACCTGTAGCCTGTAGCCTGTAGGCCATTACTCATTAACAGGAGAGACTTAGCGCCTAGGTAGCCGCCTAGGTCTTATCGGTGAACTCGATAGATAGATAATATTTTATTTCCTTTCTTATCACCATCACCATCTCCACACTTCATACTACCCCAGACTATTACCCCAGACTTCTTTTTTTTTCTTACCGACTACAGAGTACAGTCAAGGTGTCTACCAACTTGCATCATCAGTCTTCCTGTATCTTTAGCATCATTCCAAACTAGGCATTTTATCGCCTAGTTACTTATCCATTTCTCTGTACTGTACAGGACAAAAAAAACCAC